CCCCCCCCCCCCCCAAGACTGTGTACGACCCTGATGCAGATGATGTTGGTGCCTAGATATCAGTGCTGACTAATCTATACTTCAAGTACAGGACAGAATATTTATTAATTCTTTACAAATTATTTCTCAAGAAACTCTTCAAAAATAAAACCTTTTCTTTCTTTTATCTTTTCTGTGCTATATTCCTCACTCATAGATTTACAAGAATTTAGATTGCTAATGCAGACTGAGACCGAAATTTAAAAGAGTATCGTTGAACGAAACTCCAGAGTTACCTTTTTGGGGTCTTAACATTTGTGTAGATTTTGATTTAAAATATGAAAAATATGAAAAAATAAAATAAAATTTCATCACAAGTTATTGATATCCACAAAACTACCTAACCCCAATCGTGAAACCCGGGTTCCACATCGTGTTTTCATAATGATACCCTGTCTTAAGTTTTGAGCTCTGTAAAGCTGAAAATTGTACAACCCCTTGTACATCATGAACTCGTCATTTAAAAATGTCATTGAATACTTTTTACTTCTCGGGGTCAATCTGTAGAGTATTTTTTACGAATCTATTAAGATAAGTATAATAAAAACTAGGCTTCTCTCCATTAACTATTTTAGCTTTTAACCCTTAACTGTTTAGTCAAATATATTCATATAGAATTAATCAAAACCTCAACCTTAAAGGGAGTGTTCGCGAAAAATAAAAGGGGGTATAGGCTTAATGCGATAAAAAAGCGCTTTTGATCGCTTCTGATCTTACTTCTATCTGTTGCGTCTATAAAGAGAAAATTGTTAAAAACGACAAATACCGAAGAACGAAGTATCCATACAAATTCAGAAAGATGCAACATACGGCTTAGACCGTAAAAAAATCTATTTAATTTCAAACAAATCATTCAGATATTACACCCTATGGTCATCGATTATCTTTCGCCACATTTGTATATAGTTGATTTTTCATAATATGTTTTAATTGTTATGATCTGAGAGTTACTTATAAAAACATTTATTCCTGTTTTGAGGATTTTTGGTAATGAAGACGACATTTTCATATTTTCCAGGAATGTTCGAAAACAAGTTGGAAGCTAAATGTTATTTTAAAAAATAAAATCAAAACATATTTTGAATAATCAACTGTATACAAAGGTGGCGAAAGATAATCGATGACCATGGGTGTAATATATGAATGATTTGTTTGAAATTAAATAGATTTTTTTACGGTCTAAGTCGTATGTTGCATCTTTCTGAATTTGTATGATTACTACGTTCTTCGGTATTAGTCGATTTTAACAATTTTCTCCTTATAGACGCAACAGATAGAAGTAAGATTACGAACACTCCCTTTAATCAAGTAACTTAGGGACTGAAAGAGTTCTTTTAAGTGACCCTCCGTGCAAAGATTGACAATGCCCGATTCACAACGGTACCCTTAAAAGCTTTGTCTGATCAATGATGAATTTAATAATTTTTCGACAAGAAAAAATTACACTATCTTCCACAATATTGATCAGATACAGGCTTTAAGAGATCAGTTGTTGCATTATCATCTTTTGCGTTGAAAATCACAAATGAAATAACGATTACTTCAAAAAATCATTAGGTGACAAATTTGTATTTTCATAGTAAATGCATTTTACAACCATCATGGCAACTGTCGGTGATAATTTAGGGGTTTAAGACATAACTGTCGGTGATAATATATAGTAATAAAAAACAATTGTTGGTGATAAAAAAGGGTATTGAAACACAACTATCGTTGACAAAAAAGGCTAATCTTGATAGTCTTCTGATAAGGCCACTAACCCTGACAATTCAGGTGATATGAAATCTATTTCAATTTGATTTTAAGGTAAAAATTTTCATCAGTTTATCCATTTTGTTTAAACTTGTAAAATAATTAAAATATTCAGAATAAAAATTTAGTTAACAAAATTGTACTCGAATATATAATGTTGGAAATAGGTGATTTCTAAATGATACAACCAACAACTGACAGATATATTTTTATAATATCACAGGGACGTTTTTAAAATTAGATGTTATTTCCGAGCGGTTTTTTTGTGTCGAAAGTTTGCTCATAAAGTACAGTACACTATATAGCACAAGTACAATTAGTATTCTTAAATTATACAGCAAGTAGTTTATGATTTGTACACGGTACGTAAATAACTGAGAATAAAGTTTTTTTTCTTCTCAGATATGTCAGATTTTATACATTAAGTAAATATGTGCAGAAAAACAAAACAAAAAAAACTACGACAATAATGCCGTATCCATCATATTTTCTAAATCAGTATTTTCAGATCTTGGTTCTCGACTCTTCTTCTGATGTTTACGTCTTTTTCGAATTCTTTTATGTTTTCCCTTAGTCTCTTCTTCCTTCTCCTCCTTCCCATCCTCGTTAAATTCTTCATTATCACTTTCATCCTCATTCTCTTTATTGCATTGATCAACTGAAGGAACTATGGTTTGGTTTGAACTATCTAGGGTTATCTTCTCATTGTCTGAAGGTTTAATAAGAATTGGCATGTTTGATTTCAATATTTCTGCCACGGAGGGAGAAGGTCTAAACGCAGAAAGATTTAAAGGTCTGAGATTAAGTTCTATCCCTGTACTCCGGGCAGGACCCTGAGAAGAGCTGAACCCGGGTTCAGAACCAGATTTCATCAACGATTTCTCCGGGTGCACAACTGGAACTGAGGAGGATTTTTTCATCCCTGACTCGCAGGAAGTGTCTGAAGTGTCCAAATGTTGAATGGAGGTCAACTCCGATTGACTGGAGGGACTAGGTGAGTCATCTGGCTCCGATGGATCATTTTTCACGGCAGCAGCAAAATTTAGCTTTCGCGGGGTTTCCTGAAAAATTTAGAATAATTTAAAAATTTCTTTTTCTAAATTCAATTAATCAATTAAGTCTATTGACGATAAAAATTGAAATCATGAAATATCTACGTTATTGATTTTTTGAAGTTTTCTAAATTATTGATTAAAATTTTAGTTAAACAATTTAAAACAAAGTTTTGTTTGCGTTACCTTGACTTTTTCAAAAACCGGTTTTCTGACTTTCATTTCCTAACAAATTGCCATCATTCATCTTTAAGGATTTAGTTTAGAATTATGATAATTGATATCCTAAATGTTAGGTACAGTTTTTAAAGTTAATTAGAATCAAGGAATCTATGAATCGAATTTTACCAAATCAAATTAACTACGGGGAAAATTATTAAAATTCATTTAATTAAAAATATAAATTGAAATTTTAACTACACTGAAATTGTGGATTCTTGGCTTGCAAATGTTGAAAATTAATAATGATAATTCCCTGATCTTTAATAGTTTGTACTCGAGATAAATCTGCCAGTCTCCTTAATCCTTCCTCAGGTTCCTGTAACAATCAATACAAAATATAAATTCCGCCATTTTGTAGAAAAATCTCACGACATCATTTGATCATTTAAAAAATCTACGTCACAAGTGGCATTATTTGAAAATCTACGCGGCAATATTAAAAAAACACGCGGCATCAGCAAAATAATGTTTCTAAAGTCTTTCAGCATGTAATACAAATATATGTAATTTTCCTGACTACAAAATATTTCTAAAAAGAATATTATTTGTTTTCCATTAAAGACTAAAGACATAATTATGGTTTAACAAAGGACAATTAAAAACTTAATCCTTAATATAAATCAGGGAATAAAGTGAGACAGGAATGAGAAGAGGGAAGGGGGGGGGGAAGGAGAACGTTAAAAAGCTGAAGAATATTAAAATCTGAAGAGGGAAGAGAACAAATAATTCATCTATTATTAAAACCTCGGTAGACTAGAGGGAAGGAAAGAGAAGGAATATAATAATAACTCCGTAAGTAGGGGATGGGAAAGGAAAGGGAGTGAAAATGACAAAATATAGATGAAAGGCAGATCATTTGAAAAAAAATAGGAAAAAGGGGAGGTGTAGAAAAATAAAACGTTTAGGTATGGATGGGAAGGAAGGGGAGGTAGGGTGTGGGAAAGAAGGGGAGGTAGGGTGTGGGAAAGAAGGGGATGTAGGGTGTGAGAAAGAAGGGGAGGTAGGGTGTAGGAAAGAATGGGAGGTATTGTGTAGGAAAGAAGGGGAGGTAGGGTGTAGGAAGGAAGGGGAGGTAGGGTGTGGGAAAGAAGGGTAGGTAGGGTGTAGGAAAGAGGTAGGGTGTGAGAAAGAAGGGGAGGTAGGGTGTATGAAGAAAAGGGAGGTAGGGTGTGGGATGGAAGGGGCGGGAGGTTATTGAAAAACTTGAAGGGAGGGGAAAGATTATGGTTCGTTGTACCAAACGTGACGTTAAACTAATATTTTGAAAAAACTACGTCAGAAATAATATAAAATGAATAAAACTTGGCTAAAGAAGAGAATGATAAATGGTGTTCATTAAATTAATTACTGTTCTCCTCGTCTTTTATATTCTATATAGTTCACCATTAGCCGCCAATGGTCTAGATAAATTTTAAGTTTAGATTTTAAAAACGTACCTAAAGTATACCCAACTTGTCAAAAGTAATTGAAAATTCCATGAATATTTCTATTTTCAAATTTCTTCCCTTTAATAGTCTTTTTTTATATTTAAAAAAGTGTTTGACTTATGGCGAAAAAAAACTACATCTTGAAAGTGTTTCCGCTCAATAGCTAGTGTTCTGCTATTTTTTTCTTCGAACTTTTACGATTTCTATGTTTTCGAATTCAGGTTTTTAATCAATGTATTCGAGTATTTTTAAAATAAAATATTTAAAAATACTTTTGAACTGGATTTAAGTATTTTTGTCAAAAAAGTTGTTCATACTATTTCCATTTAATAAGGATAAATGAATTTAAAATACCTCATCATTACACTGTTCTGGGTAGTTTTGGCAGGGTTGCAGCTGGGAACTAAAAAGTAAAAATGATAAAATTCAAACAATTTTTTTTTCAATAATCAAAATCATATCAAATCAGACTTTCAAGGGAGTCCTGTTACCATACTATAAGTCTTGAAATGAATATACTAAATCAAATCTGAAGTTTGGGTTTACAGTTTCTAATACTTAAATCTGCTGGAAAAGAAGGTCTTTATCAATTTTCTTGTGTTTCTATTACGTCGGTCGACTGACATTGCACCAGTCCAAACAAAACTTTATCAAGAACAAGAAAATTTGAAAATATTCAACCAATCAACGGAATTGATCGGTTTTTATAAACAAAAAATTTAAGCCTTTTGATAAATATCAACTGATTAATAATCCAGAGATGAAAACTTTAGAATGGTGGAAATCGAGATCAATGCTTTATCATCTCTTTTTCCTAATCTCAAGACTCTCTAGATTAATTTCTAGAAATTAAGAGTTGCGCTTTTTAACTTTTGAAAAACTGGTTTTTAATTTTCCCGCGTTGTGTTGTCACATCAATTGGACTAATGATCGATTGAACAAACACAAGTTTTGGATTAATGTTTATTAAGACTATACATTCAAAAGGACTATATTCCTCAAATGTGATAAAATATGTTTTTTAATAGGCTAACAAAATTGTATTTAAATTTGTTTAAATGCTCTAAATGCCGGCTTGTGAACAGCTGTTTAAGTTTCATCGAAAATTAGTCCAATCGATATAGCATCGTATCTGTATTTGTAACCAATCGTATCTTTATTCCATGTAGTAGGAAATGTGATATTCAACAAGAGCGGATTAAAAAGAAAATTTTAAGTTTCCACAGTGGATATTCTGATTAAGCGATCAGGATTAAAGGGACTGTAAAGGAAAAATGAAAAAGGGTATAAGCTGAAACCTAAGTTACTTTGGAGTTGATCGAAATCCTTGTTCTATCTGATGTTCCTGTCTCGTGAAATTGATAAAAACTGTGTCAAATTTATACAAAAATTGGTATTTACCAAATTTTGTATAAAAAAGTAGGTTTAAAAAGATCAAATTCAGCAAATATGCAACCAATCTGAAAACGATGATATCCCGGAGGAGCCTGAGGAACTTAGGTTTGCTCCTATTATTATTTTAATTTAATAATTTTTCATTTTTTGTAAATTAAATTGATAATTATTATACATAATTATAAGCAGTAAACTGGTCACGTGATACAGACGGAGACATGTCACAATAATACTTCACTGCCATTGGTGGGAGTTCTGGTCACGTGATACGGATGTATAAATAATTAAACGTATATTTATGTATAATAATCATTAATTAAATTTATCAAAATTGAAAAATTTATAAATTCAAATAATAGGAGCAAACCTAAGTTCCTTAGGCTCGTGTGGGATATGATCGTTTTCAGATTGGTTGCGTATTTGCTGAATTTGATCTGTTTAAACCTACTTTTTTATACAAAATTTGGTAAATACCGATTTTTGTATAAATTTGACACAGTTTTAAATAAAATTCTTGAGATATGAACATCAGATAGAACTCTCATGGGTCTCGATCAACTCCTAAGATACTTAGGTTTCAGTCTATACCCCTTTTCATTATTCCTTTACCAGTCCCTTTAAGGGTATCCAATTCTAAAGTTTTCAGCTTAGTATACCTAGATATATCTGAATGAAGATCCTCCCAGCTAGAAAGTATTGAGCTAGGAGCTGCTGAGCTGGGAGCTGAACCCTCCTCAAATATGTCTCTCTGAGACCTGGCTGCCACCTGTCCTGATATCCCAGGGGGAGGACTGTAGCTCACCTAAATATAAACCTCATTAGGAATAATTTTTAATTAACACAATTATCAGAAAAAAATGTTTATAATTAGACATTTACATGAATAAATACAGTATTTATAAGATGTGTTGTTAATCGTTTTGGATCCTTTTCTGAAAACATTTAATATAACTTATATTTTTTTAAAAAAGTGAATATTTGGTAATTATCTTTTTTTCCATCTCGTAATCTGAGTTTCCCTTATGTCCATTTGACAACCCCAATTTTTATTTTCAAATAATCTTTTTTGTTTGTTTATTTTCTTGTGGTTTTTAATAATTTTTTTTTTCCGATTTGATGGTTATTATATCGTTAGAACTGACGAGGGTCAACCCAGACCGAAATATATCTTCAATAAATGTGGAACTAACATCTACTTTTTTACTCCATCACCATCACCGAATTTTAATTTTTTTATACTCTGCCAAATTTAGAGTCTGGAAAAAAATTTAGGCAAACAACGATCCAAGTAACATTAAAACAACATCAAGGAGTAATCCACACCAAGTACAATACAATTTACTCCTTATTCACTCCGATTTTCCAGTGATCCCACTGTGATTTGCATGCCCAATTCACTTTAAGATTTGCATGCCCAATTCACTTTAAGATTTGCATGCCCAATTCACTTTAAGATTTGCAGGCCCAATTCACTTTAATATTTGCATGCCCAATTCACTTTAAAATTTGCATGCCCAATTCACTTTAAGATTTGCATGCCCAATTCACTTTAATATTTGCATGCACAATTCACTTTAATATTTGCATACACAATTCACTTTAATATTTGCATGCCCAATTCACTTTAAGATTTGCATGCACAACTCACTTTAAGATTTGCATACCCAATTCACTTTAAGATTTGCATTTCCAATTCACTTTAAGATTTGCATGCCCAATTCACTTTAAGATTTGCATGCCCAATTCACTTTAATTGCATGCACAATTCACTTTAAGATTTGCATGCCCAATTCACTTTAAGATTTGCATGCCCAATTCACTTTAAGGCACCCTTTTCAGGAAAGATTTTGTTTTATTATCTAAATCAAACATGCCCTTCAATAAATGGAGATGTACTTACAATTACGTTTACAGTCCCTTAAACCAAATAAGGAATATTGATGCAATTAATAAGAAATTCTTAGAACATCTTAAATGGAGTGTTCTCAAAAAATGAAAGGGGGCGAAAAATTAAGCACTTTTGATCGCTTCTAGTCTGTTGCGTCTATAAGGAGAAAATTGTTAAACACGACTTATAACGAAGGCCTTAAAGCGTCCATACAAATTCAGAAAGTTGCAACATCTAACTCGGATCGTAAAAAAATAAATTTAATTCCAAACAAATCATTCATGTTTTACAACCAATAATCATCGATAATTTTTCGGAACATTCGTATATAGTTGATATTTCATATTTTTTTATATGATCCGATAGTTACTTTTGAAAACATTTATTCCTGTTTCGAGGATTTGTGATAATGATTTCTATTTAAATGCTCCTGTCCCGCTAGGGCTTGTGGGTCAGTTACAGGGTGTCCCATATCAAATCGGACTAATTAACGGGCTCGTTTTTTGGACGACGATATTAATTTATCCATCGTCATTATAGATAATGTACTGCGTTTCTACCCCGTTTGCTCTCAGTCTTCCTAGGGTTTTCAGCGACATTTTCCTATTTTCCAAGAATGTTCGAAATCCAGAGCCAGTGAAATATTATTTAAAAACAAAATATTATGAAATATTAACTGTATACAAATGCATTTTGTAATATCTAAATGATTTGTTTGGAATTAAATTGATTCCGCGTTGAATGTTGCAACTTTCTGAACTTGTATGGACGCTACGCTCTTTAGTATGAGTCGTTTTCAACAATTTTCTCCCGATAGATTTTCTGATTTTTAAGTGAAAGTAACAAACTTGTTCAGTTGCATTCTTAAAGTTAAAAAATATCTTAAGAAAAATTAAACTAAAAACAACTAAAGTAACGCAGACCATTGGAATTCTTCGACTTTTTGAATATAAATCTGGAATATCATTAGTACCTTTACACACCATTATATAAATATATATGGATGGTAATTGAATCTGAGAATATATGCAGATCAGACAAACCCTACAGTTTTTACATAATCTGTATACTTAATGAGCCAAGATTGCCTATGCTTGGATCAATTAAGCAATTGATCGGGATTCAAAGAGAGATTAATATATAGAGCTCAGATTTGTTTATCATGACAACAAAACCATGATTTTTGTCAGACAAGGTCTTGTCTATAAAATGTTTTCATCTGTTATGAATCCGACATGCCACTCTTTTTCTTTTTTCATAAAGGGTCACTCAAAATTACATTTAACGATCCTTAAAAAAATTTTCAGTAAATTTTTACTGAAAATTTTTACTGAAAATATTTACTGAAAATATATACTGAAAATATTTACTGAAAATATTTACTGAAAATATTTACTGAAAATATTTACTGAAAATATTTACTGAAAATATTTACTGAAAATATTTACTGAAAATATTTACTGAAAATATTTACTGAAAATATTCACTGAAAATATTCACTGAAAATATTAAATGAAAATATTTACTGAAAATATTTACTGAAAATATGTACTGAAAATATTCACTGAAAATATTTACTGAAAATATTTACTGAAAATATATAATAAAAATATTCACTGAAAATATTTACTAACAATATTTACTGAAAATATTTACTGAAAATATTTACTGAAAATATGTACTGAAAATATTCACTGAAAATATTTACTGAAAATATTTACTGAAAATATTCACTGAAAATATTCACTGAAAATATTTACTAAAAATATTTACTGAAAATATTTACTGAAAATATTTACTGAAAGTATTTACTGAAAATATTTACTGAAAATATTTACTGAAAATATTTACTGAAAATATTTACTGAAAATATTTACTGAAAATATTTACTGAAAATATAAACTATTTCTAATTATCCCCCAAAGCTTTTAATACCTTTGAAAATATATTTTAATTTCAATTTTATAACACTTTGTGTAGGAGTTAAAATTTCAATATTTGGTATTTGTCAAGTTTCGAGGAATCAAGAACATTCTAGGAGGGTTATATAACAAAGCTTTACAAGGGGTATAATATTGAAGTACTCATCAAGTTATTCTAAAAGACTGTTTCCAAATAGATTAAATTTGGATTAACATATAATTTAATGTTAGAAGAAAATCTTAACATTTAGTTCATTATATCTAACTTGACGAATTTAGTTCGAATTTACTAACAGAATGTTGTGAGATTGCTTTTTTATTCTGTTCATTATTTAGAATTTTTTTGTTGTAATTTTCAAATGCTTTCGGTTGTTCGAAAAAACGCGAAAAAAATTAAGTTGACTTTTCAACTTGGAACACAAGTCTTTGCCAAAAACTCTGATTTTTTAATCCCTGTATATTTGCAATCCTATGTTTTAGACCTTAGATTTTTTAATATAATTATGAATTCTGTAAGATTAAATAATCTAAGTCTGATATATCAATATCAGTTTGCAAAGATATAGGGATTATAAATTTTGAGCTAGTGACACAGACTGAATTCCTTAAATTATAAAAAGTTGTATTGGTCTGTTAATGGAATCCTGCTTGTAACATGAAACTATATTTTATATTGTTTGTTTATGCTCTACATCATATTGTTCTAGGGTATATTTCTTGTATCTGCTCTAGTAAGATGAATGCTTGTCAGGTTAAGAGATAGGAAACCTAGGATTAAAGAAACATGAGGGTACCCTACTGTATCATAATCAGTATTGGAAAAAACATACAGGGTGTCCAAAAAAACATGGGAATTATAAAATAAGTTTACGAAATTTTCTAAACGAAATGCGAAAAAATGCGAAAAGATTTTTCCTTTTCGCTACAAACCCTACTTTCAAGGCCTGCTTCGCGGCCATCTTCTATTTCAAGTGTGAACATTTTCTCTTTGTATAATTGTAAAACCAAAACCAAAATTAGTTTGCGGATTTTTAAAATTTAATGAAACTATAATTTTGTTGGATTCTAATTTTTAAAATTTTTATCATCCATAAACCTCTCCTGGGGTCATGTGAGGTCCTACACAAAGAAATGACCGAATTTATTAGTAGAAAAAAATGGTGAAGAATGATTTGTGAATAACCCTGTAACCCTGTATCTAGCAGATGGCAGGATATTATAGTTTGGCAAGTGGGAGGAAATATCAGGAAATATTACCTATTGAATTAAGTCAGAACTCTTAACAGTCCTACTCAAGAGAACACATAAAACTCAGGAATAGTTTCAATTCGTTTTCAACAAAGAAACAATTTTAACATTTTCAAAATCATATTGTAAACGCAAGAAAACGGCCATCTTAAAATTTTTGCATTTAGAAAATAATCAAACTATTAGTTTTGAATGGTGTTCGATGTTTTTATAACACTACCCCTTTTTAAATACACTTATTGTCATTAAATATCTATTGAAAACCAAAATCTTTAAACCGTCCCAAAACTAGGGTTTATATTTTTTTCCGGATTAATGTGGGTTTGCCAAAACCTTTTACGGAACCTTCCCCCTGAAGCTGTTAAAAATGATGAACCATTTATAACTTTCGTAAATTAGCGGCGGAACCTTCCCTGAAGCTGTTAAAAATGATGAACCATTCATAACTTTCGTAAATTAGCGGCGGAACCTTCCCTGAAGCTGTTAAAAATGATGAACCATTCATAACTTTCGTAAATTGGCGGAGGAACCTTTCTTAACGGATTTCTGAAGCAAGTATACAACTAGACATCTCTAGCAAATAGATTATCAAATACAATAGGTGGCAACAGAGAAATGGACCAATTATACATGACGTCACAAGTGTCAAATATAACAAATAAAAAACGAAATTTTCTCATATTAGTTGATATGTTTCCCAAGATTAAATAAAAAAGTGTAAAAGTAGGAAATAAAGAACACATAAAATTTCACTTAGTTTTTTGTAAGATAAGCACTTTATTCAAAAATTATCACAATTATTAATAATTTTGTCTGACTCAAAAACTAAGTTGACACTTGTGACGTAAGAAGACGACTGTCCTGAGAGTGTACAAATTCTACGTTGCCATCTATTGTACTAGAATCTATTTGATCTCTAGCATCTATAGATTTATTAATAATTCTGAAAAAGAAAGGGTTTGATGTTAAAAAAGATTTTAATGGTTTCTCATTTTAAACTACTTGAAGACCGGACCAATAAGTCCTTTACGGATCTTTATTGATCTGGAAGAAATTAGAAAGCCTTCCCTCAAATACAGTGAGAACCAGAAAGTTCTAGAATAAGAAGACGACGGTAAGGCTAAAGTTATGGAGACACCGCAATTGTGCATTGTAAACAGACCCATTTCATCGAATAAGTTATTTAAAAAGTCACAGGTAAAACTATTAGCTTTGTAACAACATAAAATACTATTAATTATTGCTTAATTGTCGTCTTTCCATTCCATAATTTTCTAGTTCTCACTGTATCAACAAATATAAACCTGCACACGTTGGGTTTTTATTTAGAAAGCCGTGGAAGAATGTCGACTAGCCGATACTATTTTGTTTATAGAATTCTTCAAATTCTAACTTGAATTCTTTCCCCGGGATATCAGTTTAGTAGATTGAAGAAAAATAAAAAAGAGACTGTTTGCATATTTTCAAGTGAACCTGTGTTTCAAGAGTTACATGCCCAAATCACAACGGTACCCTTTTTAATCTCTTCAGTCTTGAAAATAATTAAATTCTGGCAGTTTCTTTCCTTTTCTCTGTTAAATAAATCCGCGTTCAAATTATCTGTTCTTAGATCGATGATTTTAGCTTGAGAACATGCAAATTTTAGATCATTTATATCTGCATATGTTGGTTTAAACAAGAAGACTGAACAGTGAAGATTACACCTTTCATCGCAAATAGAAAATTCTTCATTCTTATCAATTTAATAGCAAAATAATAATCAACACATGCAATTTAGATGCTACTTATACTATACAGTTATTTCATGCATATTTACATGTCATGCAAACTTAAACAAATGAGTTGTTTATTATCATTCACTTTTTATAATTATATCCAACTTAAAGGCGAATATCGGGTTTATTTCTACTTTTTAAAGGTTAAAAAAACATTTACCCAATTACAAATGATAAGTTAAACTAACTAACCTTGATTTCATTATAATCCAAATTCTCAGATTTAGTATCATGCAGCTGAACATTAGTATCATCCTATTTACAGTACATGTACAGTTAGAACAGTGCAATTAGTTTCCTTTACCATGTACAGTTAGAACAGTACAAATAGTTTCCTTTACCATGTACAGTTAGAACAGTACAAATAGTTTCCTCCACCATGTACAGTTAGAAAAGTGCAATTAGTTTCCTTTACCATGTACAGTTAGAACAGTACAAATAGTTTCCTTTACCATGTACAGTTAGAACAGTACAAATAGTTTCCTCCACCATGTACAGTTAGAACAGTACAATTAGCATACAATACCATGTACAGTTAGAACAGTACTACTAGTTTCCTATACCATGTACAGTTAGAACAGTACTACTAGTTTCCTATACCATGTACTGTTAGAACAGTACAATTAGTATCCTACACCATGTACAGTTAGAACAGTGCAATTAGTTTCCTTTACCATGTACAGTTAGAACTGTACAAAAAGTTTCCTCCACCATGTACAGTTATAACAATACTTTTAGTATCCTATGCCATGTACCGAAAGAGAAGTACAATTAGTATCCTATACCATGTACAGTTAGATCAGTACAATTAGGATCCTCCACCATGCACTGGTAGAACAGTGCAATTAGTATCCTACAACATGTACTTTTAGAACAGTACAATTAGTATCCTAGACCATGTACAGTTAGAACAGTACAATTAGTATTCTCCACAATGTACAGTTAGAACAGTACAATTAGTACCCTACACCATGTACAGTTAGATTAGTACAATTGGTATCCATGTACTGTACCATGTACAGTTAGAACAAATACAATTAGTTTCCTATACTATGTATGTACAGTTAGACTAGTGTTATTAGTTTCCTATACCATGTACAGTTAGAACAGTACAATTAGGTTCCTATACCATGCGGCATGTATAGTTAGAACAGTGCTATTAGTTTCCTATAACATTTACAGTTAGAACAATACTATTATTTTACTTTACCATGCACACTGTACAGTTAGAAAAGTACAATAAGTTTCCTATGCTATGTACAGATAAAACAATACAATTAGTTTCCTATACTATGTACAGTTAGAACAGTAAAATTGGTATCCTACACCATGTATAGTTAGAACAGTACAATTTCCTATAACATGTACAGTTAGAATAATGCTATTAGTTTCCTACACCATGTACAGTTAGAACAGTACTACTAGTGCTTATTGGGCACACTGTATAACATAGTATAATTAAATGTACAGATCTAGGAAATATAGTGAAATATTACACTATATTAGATTAAATTTAAAAAATTGCAAATAGTATCAGCTTACACCACACTATCTACAGTTATCATAATAATACATTATACATCGCAAATAAAGAACTCCTTTAATTTCAATTTACCCCCCAATGTGCAATTTTCATTGTGCAGCTAAGAAGCACAGTGTACATAGTACGCTGAGTAGTGTACAGTGTACAGTGTACAGATTACAGATAATTCATACTCTGCTAATATATAAAAGATGTGAAAAGGAGCCCATTCTCAAGGTCTTAAGGTAAAGAGGATCAAGCACTGCGTCTAGGACAGACATGGGAAGATGCCGATTGGGAAATAGCACATTTGGAAAGTTGCCACTTATGATGCTATTGGGAAAGTATCTAACATCTTTAAAAAGTTTTTTTTAGTTGAGACTCAACAGAGTTTACAAAAAAATTACAAAGAATTGCCTTGTTATTTAACTTTGCAGGTTTTTAAACATGCTTACAACAAAGGAAACTTGAAGAGCATAGAATTTTCTAATGAAAGCCCGAAAATACCAAGTGTTCAAAATATTTACAAAAACAATATTCAAGGATATTTCCTTACTGATACCTATCTATCACATTATTGACATTTCTTATCTGATGAGTTGCTATATATATGGCAGCTTTAATGCAAATATAACAACAGTTTTTTTTACAATTAATTTTAATTCTGAGATTTACATTGAAACCCATAAAACTGTAGAACGAAAAGATGACATCTTATAAATGGGTCTGTGAACACTGCACAATTGCCGTGTTCCATGTTCATTTGATCTTTTAAAATCATGATTTAAATAAAGCAGCCGTCGTTCTATTTAACAGTTTTATGGGTCCAATTGTAAAAGCAACCGTCGTTCTATTAAACAGTTTTATGGGTCCAATTGTAAAAACAACCGTCGTTCTATTTAACAGTTTTATGGGTCCAATTGTAAAAACAACCGTCGTTCTATTTAACAGTTTTATGGGTCCAATTGTAAAAACCACCGTCGTTCTATTTAACAGTTTTATGGGTCCAATTGTAAAAACAACCGTCGTTCTATTTAACACTTTTATGGGTCCAATTGTAAAAACAACCGTCGTTCTATTTAACAGTTTTATGGGTCCAATTGTAAAAACAACCGTCGTTCTATTTAACAGTTTTATGGGTCCAATTGTAAAAACAACCGTCGTTCTATTTAACAGTTTTATGGGTCCAATTGTAAAAACAACCGTCGTTCTATTTAACAGTTTTATGGGTCCAATTGTAAAAACAACCGTCGTTCTATTTAACAGTTTTATGGGTCCAATTGTAAAAACAACCGTCGTTCTATTTAACAGTTTTATAGGTCCAATTGTAAAAATCTTAAAGGAATTGTAAGCATAATTTTAAGTAATTCTCCATGTTTTTAAGAGAAACCACAATTGAAAATAATCATTTTTGAAATTATAAAGATGAATATCTAATTTATACTTGATCCGACCAATGATACCGGTGTGAACAGGGTGTTGACATTTGTGTATATATGGTCTCAAGATATTACACTTACAGTCCCATTCAAAGTATATGCCCCTGCTAAACATTTAAAGATGTTTGACTCGGCTTGTTACAAGTTTTACACCGTCCTACCTTAACGAAGTCATAGTGCTTATCATAGTACTTGATCAACTCAGCTTCTGTCTTGATGCTCTGCAAGGCGTTGTAGGTGTGCACCAGCAGCTTGGGGAACCTTGACAGATAAATATGGTAAACAGAGCTAGTCGTGAACATAGTTTTATTGATAAAGGGTGGAGCAGGGGTCTATATTTTCTTGAAAAATTACTGGAAGTATAGAGAGGAAATTCTAAGAAAATAATGTGAGTTATGATGAAAATGGACCCTAAACATTCACTTAAAAACATGAAAGTAATCAAAGAGGTAAATAGAAATAGAAGATTATATATATGTTCAGTGTAAATTATTAAATTATATTTTTTATAATTTGATGTTAAATCAACGTCATCTAACGTGGTAAAAATAAAATTTTTGACTGAGAAAAAATTACATCAAAACATTGTATGACGCCATCAACAATTTAGTCTTTTAAAATTTGAATTTTGATATTTTTTCCATTTCATATAGTTCACTAGAGGTTTATAGAGGCAATACTAAAAAAAGGGTTTTAATGAAGATTGATCTTGAACAAAAAAAGACAAAAAAATGTTAAAAACCATTAAAAAAACTAGTAGTGGAGCAGGGGTGTTTATTTTCTTGAACAATCATTACCCCCATCTTTGACAATTATCTTTCCCCCCAGGAGTTATGGAAATTTTTCTCTGGCTGAATTAGGAAAAAAAAAAATTTTTTTTTTTTTTTTTGGGGGGGGGGAGTAAAAAAAAGGATGAAAAAAAATTGCCCTTTGTTGTCCCAATTTTTCAATTTTCAGCAAAATTTTTTCAAAAATCATTCCCCCCGGAGGAAGAAGGGTTGAAATTTTACACCCTCTTTGCGGAGTGAAAAGTTAACAAAAATGTGCATACTGCATATGTAAAGACGATCAAACTTTATTCTAATATCATACAACAGAAGCATCGTTTCTGGATCTTTGTCATATCCTACATATCTTACAAACTTGTATCCTACAGTGAGAACCAACTCTGGAATAGGAAGACGATATATAAACAACCAGCTGGAGTGCCCGGCGTTGTCCGTGGAATTAAAAAAAATCGATTTTTGGAAATTAACTTTCTTTATTTTTTTACCCATGGGTTTCCTCAAAAACTTTCACCTGTAGGTTGAAAATCAACTAATTAGTTAAAATGTGTTTGTGAACATGGCACAAAATGTTGTGTTTCATGTTCATTGGATTATTTTAAATCATAAATTGTGTCTCAAATTTTGTTCTTATTCCAGATTTTTATAAGTAGTCTCACTGTATTTCTGATTTACTATCCTCTATCTTACAACCTGAAAGTGCATATGAGAAAATCAGGCATATCCTGTTATCTGTATTCTATATTCTATATCCTGTTTTCTGTATTCTGTATCTTATATCCTGTATTCTATATCCTGTTATCTGTATTCTATATTCTATATCCTGTATTCTATATCCTGTTTTCTGTATTCTGCATCTTATATCATATCCTGTTATCTGTATTCTATATTCTATATCCTGTTTTCTGTATTCTGTATCTTATATCCTGTATTCTATATCCTGTTATCTGTATTCTATATTCTATATCCTGTATTCTATATCCTGTTTTCTGTATTCTGCATCTTATATCCTGTATTCTATATCCTGTTTTCTGTATTCTATATTCTATATTCTATATCCTGTATTCTATATCCTGTTTTCTGTATTCTATATTTTATATCCTGTATTCTATTTCCTGTTTTCTGTATTCTGTATTCTATATCCTGTTTTCTTTATTCTATGTTCTATATCCTGTATTCTATACCCTGTTTTCTGTATTCTATATTCTATATCCTATTTTCTGTATTCTATATTCTATATCCTGTGTTCTGTATTTTATATCCTGTGTTCTGTATTCTATATCCTGTATTGTATATCCTGAGTTCTGTATGATCCTGTAGCCTGTATAATTCTATATCCGGTGTTCTGTATCCTGTATCCTGTATTCTATATCCGGTGTTCTGTATTCTGAATCCTGTATTATATATATCCTGTGTTCTGTATGATCTTGTATCCTGTATAATTCTGAATCCTGTGTCCTGTAACCTGTAACCTGTAACCTGTAACCTGTATCCTGTGTTCTGTGTTCTGTGTTCTGTATTCTGTATTCTGTATCCTGTAACCTGTAGTCTGTATCTACTATTAATCTCCAATATACTGCAGTACAGTTCACCATGTAAACAATAAACAATAAAACAATAATGCTGCAGCCTTCAGGCAGGAATATTTATATTTTTAACACAAATATTCACAAGCAAGAATAGTAATTAATATTTTTTAATATAAATACTTTTAGAATGAATGTTTTCTTTCTGAGGATTTTAAAATCCATTTTTTAGAATCGGTGATATTTGCTACCTCACTATAGGTGAGAGGTTGGGGCGATAAGTGAATTTTCAATGATCTCTATCAAACTGTCCTAGTTAATACTCTTGAGAGGTAAATCAATGATGATGAAATTTCATTTAACAATCCTAGTTTTAAATTCTTGGATGAAATTCCATTAAACAATCCTTTTCATAATTTCTTGGCAGTGAAGAGTTCATGATGAAACTTCATTTAACAATACTCGTTCAATATTCTTGAAAGTAAAGAAATGATGTTGAAACTAAATTTATGATTTAATAATCCTAATTTAATATTATTGGAGGTTAAGAATTGATGATGAAACTCTAATTAACAATTCGACTATAATATTCTTGGAGGTAAAGAATTGAAGATGAAACTCTATTTAACAATCCTAGATTAATGTTCTTGAAGGTAAAGAATTGAAGATGAAACTCCATTAACAATTCTTGATGAATATTCTTGGAGGTAAATTAAAATTAACAATCCCGGATTAATAATCTTGGAGGTTACGAACTAATGATAAAAGTCCATTTAACAATCCTAGATTAGTGTTCTTGTATAAAACATGTTAAAATTCATGACTGTTTGTATTGTATTCTATAGAGTTATAATTATTCTGTCCGAATTCTGTCTTAGCTTGTCCTAGATGTCTCAACATTAATAATATGATATTTGAAATCTGATATTGATGAAAATATGTAACGAGATATTAACCGTACAATATGTTATTTAAATATTGTTCTTAACATTTCGCGAATTGTTTTCTTAATATTCCACGAATTTCAAATTTAATTCTAGGTTTTCCTGTTTTGTTTTTTATTATATTTAGAAAGGTGATTAAATTTTCCTTTGCATTTTAAAATGTGATCTGCTATTTTTGCGCTTTTAAACTACAAAAGATGTGAAAAATCAATATTATTGAATCAAACCAAAATTGTCTCTATCTGAACGAAATTCTCCGATAATTTTGAAATCACAAAAATTGAGGACCACATTTTAGAAAAACCAGGGCTCTAGGTATTTAGTGATAATTGTATCAAGAATGATAGTTGTAAAATCAGATTGACGATTGAATGCCGAAAATTATTTCATAGATCAAAGACGATATTGAAGTATACTCTCAACAGTCCAATTTAATGGAAAACGCTGTACATCTAAAACATTTATATTGTGGACTGTACAGTGTACAGTGCTGTACGTACATACCTTTGGTCCCAGTACTGCATAAACTGATTAGGAAGCGGACCGTACACTTCCTTTACTTGTTCAGGCATCTCTCGGTAGTGGTGCTTCTTATTCCTAAAATATATAAAAATCTTGAAAATTTTTATTAACATTGATGGATTTGCGTGAATTAAAAATGACATCTATTCTAGGCAAAAATTTCATTTTACATCGGCCATAACATTTTCCTGGGGCCATATAAATTACAATGATAGAACTTTTTGAAATTAACTGGACACAAGCAAACAAAAAGATACAGCACAGGGACACATATTTTCTAAATACTTGAGGAAAACTTGCCTTTTCATGTTCAAGTTTTCATTATATCCCCGGAGCAGTATAGAAAATCATCACCACCCCTGGGTATTAAGACAAGATGGAAGAATAAAAATGAGAATATATGAAAAGGAAGCTTTTATAACAGAACATATATTAATTTATTGGAACGTTAACATTTCTTTTCATTGGAACAGTAAACCCTTGTTCACTGGAACATTAACACTTTTCATTGGAACAGTAAACCTTTGTTCACTGGAACATTATCACTTTTCATTGGAACAATAAACCCTTGTTCACTGGAACATTAACACTTTTCATTGGAACAATAAACCCTTGTTCACTTGAACATTAACACTTTTCATTGGAACAGTAAACCTTTGTTCATTGGAACAACTTTTCATTGGAACAGTAAACCTTTGTTCATTGGAACATTAACACTTTGTTCATTGGAACAGTAAACCTTTGTTCATTGGAACATTAACACTTTTCATTGAAAAAGTAAACCATTGTTCACTTGAATATTAACACTTTTCATTGCAACAGTAAACCCTTGTTCACTAGAACATTAACACTATTCATTGGAACAGTAAACCCTTGTTCACTGGAACATTAACACTTTTCATTGGAACAATAAACCTTTGTTCACTGGAACATTAACACTTTTTATTGCAACAGTAAACCTTTGTTCACTAGAACATTAACACTTTTCATTGGTACAGTAAACCCTTGTTCACTGGAACATTAACACTTTTCATTGGAAAAGTAAACCCTTGTTTACTGGAACATTTCTTTTCATTGGAACAGTAAACCCTTGTTCACTGGAACATTAAAACTTTACATTGGAACAGTAATTCATTGTTCACTGGAACATTAACACTTGTAATGCAGTGTTTAGACAGCTGTAGGACAGTGTTCTGACAGCTGAAAGTGCAGTCTTCCGAAAGCTATAGTTATGTGTTCAGATAGCTGGAGTGCAGTGTTCATCAGACATCTTTTGTTTGCTGTTCAGACAACTTTTGTACAGTGTTCAGACAATTTTGTTCAGTGTTCAGACAACTTTTGTCCAGTGTTCAGACAGTTTTTATTCAGTGTTCAGACAACTTTTGTAGTGTTCTGACAGTTTTTGTTCAGTGTTTAGACACCGTACCTAAGGTGCAGCTGTTCAGAAAGCTCTGATAAATGATAATAATCTGTCAAAAAGTCCTTGCTAGTAACAACAAAGATTGTACTAAGCTCTCCCATATCCAAATATCAAAAATATTTTTCAAAATAAATTTAATATTTTCACAGATCTGTGATATATTTCAACACAATTTTGATTTTAAATTCTACATCTAAACCAGATATTTTAAAATTTTAAACAAATGGAGGAATATTATTAAATTAGCCTGAATTATCTTTATTTACCTTATTGCCCTTAACAGATCCTTGACAGTATTCCTGTAAGTCCGACTTCTCCTTAAATCATCCCTAGAAATTAAAAATGATTTGCATTTGGATTTTATCATTAAATTAACCTGCCAAACATTCCAAAGTATTTTATATTTCTTTTAGTTAAGTGTACAGTATGTACAGTACACAGATTACAGAGCCCGAAACAGAGTATCGTCATAAAACCGAGTATCAGAAACCCGGTTTCATGAATGGGGTCAGGCTGTTTTGTTTTTCTTGAAAAGAAATATTGTTTCATATGGTTTCTGATTTGTTAAATTAAAAACTACGCAACTGTTTAGACCCCAAAAAGGAAACTCATTCAACAATACTCTCTTAAATTTCTGGCTCTGGAAGGTATGACACTAACAGCGTATATGTACATACAAGAAATTATTTGTTAAGAAAACAACAAATCTAAAACTATTGTTATTTGTGCTCCTAAAAATGTCTAAACTAATAATAAAGTATAAAGGGGGGGGGGGGGGGGGGGATCAACCCTCAAAGAAAAGTAGAGGGCTTCAAAAAATTAAAAACCAAACCCGTGAGAAAATTTCCAGTCCTGGAGAAAACTTTTTGAACTTTCAAGGAAACTTAATAAACTCAACAATTAAAATGACTCTTGGAATTCTTAGTTTATACTACTCTACCCTTCCAATCAGCTCCGAAAAAATATTTATTATTTAATAATTTTAACGGAAAACAAAATTTGAGAGTAATAACTTAATAACTAACTAGTTCAGCGACCTTGCTCAAGTTCATAAAATTCTATCCCTGACCTGACAATAGTATCTAGAGCTGCGACCCAATCTCCTGATAGAACCTCCTCCTGATCCCTCTCCAGGTGATGTAGGAGAACACTTCCCTCATCCTCAGCCTCAACACGGTCACTTGCCTCCTGCAGGAAACTTAGGGACTTCTCCTAACCAAACCAAACCAAATATCAAACCCAAACCCAAACAAAACCAAATCAAAATAACCTTTTCCAAATGAAACCAAATATTGCTTCAAACTATCATAACTTATGACATTTTAAGGGCCAAACCTTTTTTTAACAATCTCAAGTAAAATCTTGATTGTTCTATAACAAAACTTGACTGGCCCAAACCAGTCATCAACAATCCCAAACCAAAACTTTGACAATCATTAACTAAACTGGACAACCTCCTAACTAAACTTGGGTAATCCCAAACCCACATCTTGACGATTCTCAACACCAACAATCCTTAATTCAAGCTAGGCAATCCCAAACCGAACTTTAAAAATCGCAAACCAAACCAAGCTTTGACAATTTCATACTAAACTGGACAACCTATGACCAAACTTTGATAATCCCAAACCTAAACTTTGATAATCCCAAACCTAAACCTTGACAATTCTCAAAACATAGCGAACCAGATAAAATAGCAACAATCCTAATTCAAACTGGTCGGGGGTCAATCCAAAAAAAGCTTTGACAATCCCAAACCAAACTTGGATAATCCCAAACCAAAACCTTGACAATTCCCAGCCCAATTATTTGCTGACCAGACCAAATACCAACAATCCCAAACCGAACTTTGACAGTCCCAATCAAAACTTTGGCATTCCCGATCCATACATTGACAGTCCCAATCCAAACTTTGACAGTCCCAATCCAAACTTTGACAATCCCAATCCAAACTTTGACAGTCCCAATCCGAACTTTGACAGTCCTAATTCAAACTGTGACAGCGTCCAAACGTTGACATTACCAAACCAAACTTTGACAAACACAAACTGAACTTTACAACCCCATATCAAACCTGTAAAATTTAAAAAGATTCCTGTTGAGCAAATTTGAATTTAAATTATATTTAAATTAAAGCATACCAAAATACTTAGTGAAGGACTCAAATTAGCATCTACCAACCCACCCTCCNGGCTTTTGTCACAATATATCTCTTAAAATGCATTTGTCTTGTGTTTCATGTTTAGAATGAACAAAATGAATAAATTCTGGAAATCTTTGCATTTACAAACATTGTATCAATTGTATCTTGCATTGATTTATAATGATTTCAATTTATAATTATTTTTATCGTTCAGATATTTATCTTTGAATGGATCCTGTAAACCCGCAATATGTTAAGGATGTCGTCTTTGTTATAGCTAACTTTTTAGGGGGAAAAATATACTTTTTAGCTTTTTTACAAGAATTACAACGGATTCAGGATAATGTAGATATACAAATAGAATCTAAAAACCATTATTTAAAAACGTGGGGCGCCTGCAGCCCGCCCGAGTACTGTTTTAGGCGTTGATTCGTGTTTAAAATACCCATTTAAAGAGTTTTTACGGAAATTACCAATTTTCCATCGGATCTCAGAACATTTCTATAACTCAGAGACTTCTTTAAAAAATAACTCACGCGGCCGAGCTTTATTTGACTTGAGTAAGAAAGTTTTGGTGTGTACCCCATTGTGCCCCATTCTCTCAGCTTATGATTAAAGGAACAGAATTGTAGAATAAATGTATGAAAATAAGCTGGAATAAATTTGCCGCAGGATGAAAAATTTTCTTTTTATTCATATTGTTTTATTTTAAGAAGAAAATAAAGTACTGTCAACTTAAGATATTTATTCCACAACATTTTATTTTTTTTTTATTTGAAAAGGCGTTTTTACTTCTTCCAATAAAAACATCGTTTTTATATCATTGTAAATAAAAAATAACATTTACCCTAGATAATGCTTAAAACAAAAACGCTTTTTTTCTCCGAATATTAGATAAAAATGGTATACATAGATTTACGATAAGGTTTGAAATTGACTTCTCTCTGTAAAGATGTTGTAAATAATAATTATAGTCGTCTCGTTTTGTTAGATACTAGCTGAAGGGCCCGGCGTTGCCCGTTGAAATTTTTTTTGCCCATAACAACCCCCGGACACACATGAGTGAATATAGATAAAAATGTTTTCTTCTGTGTTAAAAGGAGGTTGGCTGGGGGCGCCTGATTCCCAAATCACATGAAAATTGGCATTTTTGTTAAGTCAGCGAGTCGGACAGTATTAAAGGAGTGCACTGCTTCAACAGTATTTAAGAAAAAAGAAAAATAGGCCTTCTCTCCTTCCCCATTTCTAACAGAATTTCATAGAATATTTATTCTTATCCCATAATTTTTCTTAGTTCATTAATTCCATTAATACAACTAGATTCTATCAGTGCCCCCACCCACTGTCTTCATTCTCAATATATACAGGGTTACAAACAAAGGATGAGACTGTAAAGACGACCTGAAACTCTTAACATACAGTGTCCCATATCATATTGGATTATCTCCAAGCTTTAACGACAAAATATGCACTTAATACTCGAAAAACCTAGTATTTTCTGCATGTAAATTTTTAAATAGGCCTTTTATAATTTTTTAAAATGATTCATTCTTTTTTCAATTCCGTACAGTCGTCTCTGATATTTCATCCATAGTGGGTAACCTGAGCTAATTTTATTAAAATTTGAAAATTGAACATGCTGCTAAAGTTTTTGGCTTTGCTGCCAAAATAATATATGGTTAAATGTTTAGTATACACTATACAGTGATTAAAGCGGAAATTAAAGAGAGAACTCCCAAGTTTCCTTTTTGGGGTCTATAATTAGTTTACAGTGAGAACTGTGGAATAGGAAGACAACATTAACGTAATAATTAGGTATATTTGATGTTGTTACAAAGCAATTTTTGTAAAGTAACTTTTCAAATCCCAGCTTCTCAGTGTAAAGTGCAGATATTAATGGAAGAATTAGTATAGTATGAGACTAATCATAGGAAATAATATTTTGAACCGAAAAGTTGAAAAAACTACGAAATTGTCTTAACCGATTCAGGAAACCCGGGCCCCGGGAATGGCTTTTTTTGACGATGCTCTTGTGTTAACCCATTACTACCGTCCAGCTCCCCTATCGACAGAATTACATGAAATTTTAAGTACAGCTTCATTAGGAGTCTTTCAGTATGTACAGTATGAAATGTATAGTGTGCAGTTTGCAGTGTGCAGTATGTACTTTAGACTGTGCAGTGTGCAGTTCGTAGTGTACAGTGTACAGTATACAGTGTCAAGTGTGCTGTCTGAAGTGTGCAGCATACAGTATGCAGTGTTCAGTGTTCAGCATACAGTGTGCAGTGTATAGTAAGCAGTTTGCAGTGTGCAGTTAAGAGTGTATACAGAGTGAAGTGTACAATGTGCAGTGTGCGTGTATATTGTACAGTGTGCAGTGTATGTTGTACAGTGTGCAGTGTATTTTGTACAGTGTGCAGTGTACAGTGTACAATGTTTATTGTACAGTGTGCAGTGTATAAAAACACGGTAAAACCAGAGAAATATGAGTTGAGTAAATATCTGCAGTAAATCTATCTTCAACCCGTCCGGAACACACACAGAATAAATAAAATCCACACAAATATAAGTGTTTAAATTTTTAGAAATAAAATTATTCAGATCTATAAAAAATACGTAGAGGCATACCCATTACACATTACCCATCTACAGACACAGAATTGTTCAAATCAACTTAAATAGAATTATTCTACGGAACTTGTAGAACTGTTAATATTAGAAATAGAATAATTCAAACCTACATAACTATGTAGAAATATATGCACCTACAGAAGTATAAATTGTTAAGTCGATACAAATAAAGGTCAAATATAATCAGACACAAAATATTCAAATCTACAAAAAGGAAATAAAAATTTTAATCTTCAGAAAACTGATGCATTAAATAGTTTTGAATTATTTAAATAGCCCATCATTTAGTAAAAACAAAAGATTTAGGTTAAAAAAAGTATTGGGGGGGGGGGGGGGAGCAGCTGCAAAGCTTGAGGAAAATAGAAAAAGCTGAGCAAGGTTATTAACTAGGATAATCAAACTTGAAAACATCACGAAATCCTTAAAGCAAAGTGAATGAAATAGATTCTTTAGAAACAGGTTTGCAGTTGCAGAGTCTTCAAGTTTAATTAAACATGGATTAAGATAAAGATAATAAGAACACCCTTACTAATTCCGAGCCCGCGATTTAAAAAAATTCGGGGAAATACGGCTCAGGTCTAAGCTGCCGTTGGACCTTATTTACGACTTGAGCTTTCGGATTAAAGCTGCATCTTATTTTCCACCGAGTTGAATTCAAAAAACCGGTTTAATATTCTCTTAGGCGGATTTGCATGGTAGGAATTGGCGCATTCCCAGTTTTTATGAGAACAAGACACGAAGATTGGGTCTTAAAGTTGGGTTTAAGGAATTACGACTCGAGCCGAAGCTTTTAAATCGCGGGCTCAGGATGAAGAATTGTTAAAAAATGCCCTTTTTGTTTCCCTCGCTAATTCCGGATGAAGAATTGTTAAAAATGGCGCTAACCACCCGGCTCCCTAGATCAGGATGAAGAATTGTTGAAGAATCCCCTATAATCCAGATATGGAATTGTTATAGAATCCCCTATAATCCCCCCGTCTACCCCCAGCAGGTTCAATATCCGAATCCCCAAATTATCTGACAAGAACAGTTCCTAGTAAAGACAGTTTAGTCTCATTCTTCTCCTCCCCTCTTCTCAACATAGAGATATCAAACCTTCCAGACAGAATATTCGCCTTAATAATATAGTATATTAGAAAGGTAGGTAGGTAGGTAGGTAGGTAGGTAGGTAGGTAGGTAGGTAGGTAGGTAGGTAGGTAGGTAGGTAGGTAGGTAGGTAGGTAGGTATGGAGGTAGGTAGGTAGGTAGGTAGGTAGGTATGGTAGGTAGGTAGGTAGGTAGGTAGGTAGGTAGGTAGGTAGGTAGGTATGGAGGTAGGTAGGTAGGTAGGTAGGTAGGTAGGTAGAAAAGTAATTGTACAATGTACATTACATAAGAGTACACTAAAAGGGAGTGAACTACCTGTCTATGGAAATTGTCTCCAAACGGATGTTTCCCTGCTGTCAGCATATAGTAGTAAACACAACCCAGAGAGAATATATCAACTAGACATGTTGTACTCCGATTCCCTGAATTCAAATTAACCCTTTCGTTACGAAGTTTTAAGCAATTTCAACTTTAAATCTTAATATATTTCAGTTGAGTGAAGTCAGAACAATAGAGATTGAGTTGCAATATTAAAAAATTCATCCAAGTATATGCTCCATTTCTATCATTTAGTGTTGAAAATGGGCCAACTAGCGGTTTGGAACTTGTTCGAAGTCAACCTATTTATGACGATATTGAAATTTTTCTAATTTAACTAACATAATTCAAGATTTATAAATGGAGTCCTCAAGTTAATTTCAACAAGATTACACATTTATCGTGTAAATTGGATGTTTAAAGTGTGAAAGGTGGAGTGTAGATAAGTTGAGTTCTGTAACTGAAGTTTTCTTTGAAAACAGAGGAAAAGTTGGGTTAAACCAGATGATTAAAGGGACTGTAAGCGTAATTAAAAGTAAAACTCCATGCAAAGAGGGCAATGTCAGATTTACAACGGTACCCTTGAAATCTTTGACTGTTCATCGAGTAAAGAGAGATTTTTGTTTAAATATCTTGAAACCTACTAATCCCTCTAAAATGCGGTGACCGCTCTGTGCACAGCTGATACGCTACATGTGTAACTCGACATTATAAACAGTTTCAAAATATAAGAAAGAAAATATTTCTTTTCTGTTAATTTTGTAAACTGAATATTAATATTTTTAAAATTTAACGCAACTTGCAAACAAAGTGTTAAACAATTAAACGATTTTTTTGTAGATTATATAATGGGGATAAGTCCCACAACATTCCGGCATTCACATCTTTGTATGGAGGGTCACTTGAAATAACGCTTACCTGAGCCCAAGATTTAAAAGCTTCGGCTATGGTCGTAATTCCTTAAACCCAGCTTTAAGACCAAATCTTAGACTCAACTCTCACGACAGCTTGTGTCATGTGATTGACAGCTGCGAGATCTTAGGCTCGACTTAAGGAGTTAGGCCCTATGAAAATAAAACCGGCCTTGGTTGGATTTAGTGGAGAATAAGGCTCGATGTTGAGTCTTGTTCTCATAAAAACCCGGAATGCGCAAATTACTGCCATGAAAATCCGCTAAATAGAATATTAAACCGGTTTTTTTAAACTAAACTCTGTGTAAAATAAGATGCAGCTTGAATCCGAAAGCTCAAGCCGTAAAAAAGGCCCAACGACAGCTTAGACCTGAGTCGTATTTTCTTGAATTTTGTTAATCGCCGGCTCAGTCCCTTTAAATCTTCATGAACACTTTAAAATGATCGTTTTAAATCAAAAGTAAAATAAGAATAATTAGATTTACTTTATAGGGATCATCCTTTTCTGAAAAGTATTGAAACATCGTCTTAGCAAAATAAATTAAATCCACGGAAAAACTAAAATGCTTGATAATGAAAAGTATTAGACGCAATTAAAAGAATGATTTAATAATTCACAAAATTTTGCTTAATCATTAATGTAAATAACAGCTAAATAATTTAAATATTTATTCCCCTTTTTAAAAAAAAACTGTTGATAAAACTTTCCACACTTCAAAACTGTATTTGCTTAAAGTTTTCTTTTTTAAAATTATTGTTTAAACACGGAGCGTTCTTTTGCAAAAATTTTCTCTAAATTTGACAAAGTGTACGAAAAGAAAATACATTTTTTTAAAAATTACGTTTCTTACACTTGGTCAAAGGAATTGAGTCTTTGCCACAAACTCGGATTTTTAAATCCCAATTTCTTTAAAACCAAATGTCGTAGACCGTAGGTATTTTAAAATATGAATTCTGGTGGATCAAACAATGTAAGTTTGAAATATGTAAGCTTGAAATATGAAAGGTATGCAACATCTGGTTTTTGAGATTTAGGTATTATAAAATTGGCATTTGTGGCAAAAACTCAATTCCTTTGGACCCCGAGAGAAAATATATTATTCAAAAACGATTTACAGCACTAATTGTACAACAGAAAAAGAATAAATAAACCATAATTTGTTTTTCTATAATCCGTGCTTACCCTCAAAAACCCATCCTTTAGGTCCCTCGAGTCCCTCCCTTTATAATTGACTAAAATTCCACCTTGAACTAAGCCCCCTAGTTAAATAAAAATATTCCTACCCAACAACATCTCCGGAGCTATCCAACCCTCCGTCCCTGCAATACCAGACCTCTGGGAGAAGGACATCCGTCCCAACTTTAACTTCTTACATAAACCAAAATCTGAAATCATGGCTCGAACTTCTCCCCTCCGTCCTGGCAGGGAGATAAGAACATTTTGAGGCTTTATGTCCCTAGAAACATGGTTTCATTGCAGATTAAGTTGCGAATTATGAAGTTTTTAAGGAAATTAAATTGCATCATAAAAATTGAAATGTCCATTAAATTTTTCTTATCATATTATGACAAACATAAAACAAATTTACGTCCAACATATATTGACTTTTGTAACTGCGTCTCGTAAAATTAACTAACTATGCATGAATTTATAAAGATTTTGTCCTTTTATCTTTTTAATGTTTTACTCAAAGAAAAGTGAAAGTTAATCCATTCCTGTGTGCTATATCAAGTCCATGAAGATGTGCCAGTCCTTGAACGGATTGCCTAAAAATGTATTTTTCTTTAAAAATTGTTGATTTATATTTCTATGTTTAGTGGTGGATGAACTTAGCGAAATGATTGAGGATTTCATTTTTCAAACTTTGGCTCGATGTAATAATGAGGTTTTATTTTTATAAGGAATATTTAAAGATTTTGTTTAACATTAGTCGACATAATTTTAAGTTACTTTAAAACTATAGAGAGTGGCATGTCCGATTCACATGGTTAACCTTAAATGCTTTGTCTGATCAAGAATGATTGAGATATCCATATTTTTCTCTTTGTAAGAAAAAACCTTTTTGAATTGTGGTTTCTATTCAAAAGTGACTTACGATTTTCTGCTGAATTATCCATTTTTAAAAGGTACCACTGTGAATTTAGCATGCCCCTTATTTTTATTTTTTGATGGAATGTAATTTCCAATTACAATAACAGTCCCTAGTGCCAATGTTAACCTGAATACTGAAGTTATATCCAAGACATCTGTTCTGTATTTCCCCTCAATATACTCCTGAAGAGTTGCCGCGCATAGTTCCAAAGCTATATAACGGAACTGGCGGCATTGTTCCATACAGAAGTAACGGATTACATTAGGATGCTCATCACTCTCCCTGAACATGTGTACAGTGGTAGGCGATTATATAAATACAATGAAGACGACCTTTTTATTGAAGTTTTGATTGTTAAAAACCTTTTTATGTTACGTAGGCGATTATATAAATACAATAAAGACCACCTTTTTAATTGAAGTTTTGATTGCTAACAACCTTTTTTAAGTTATGTAAGCGATTATATAAATACAATAAATAAATAAAGTGCCCATAGTGGATATCGAGATCAAGCGATCGGAATTATGAGCATCCAACTCAAAAGTTCCCAACTCTGGTACTCCCAGTTATAGAATTCGAATTTCAAATTTGCAACTATTTGAATTCTCTGGTTTAAACTTAATACTTGAGCAAGTAAACAATGTTATAGACAAGAGAAAGGTTACAAGGGAAATAATAATGAATCTTGAAAACATATTACATAAAACAAAAAAAGAGAGAAATTAAGAAATTAAACAAGAAACAGGTTGAAACATTAGACAGTAGAAAGGTTAAGACAATAGACAAGAGAGAGGTTGAGACATTATACAAGAGTAAAGTTAAAGCATTAGACAAGAGTATAGTTAAAACAAAAAACAAGAGAGAGGTTCAGACATTAGACAAGAGTAAAGTTAAGCATTAGACGAGGAATGTTAAGATATAAGAAAGGTTAAGATTTTAGACATAAGAAAGGTTAAGATATTGGACACAAGAAAAGTTAATCATTAGACAAGAGAATGGTTAAGATATTGGACATGAGAGAAATTAAGACGAAATACAAGAATAGGATTAAGGCATCATAGAAGTAAGAGATAAGACATTAGATAAAACATTTTTAACCTGAGTAGGTCAACTTCTCTATCTGCTATAGAGAAGCAAGCAGCTAGCACTCGTTTAACAGCTACATCACGTCCATCAAAACTTCCCTAAACAGTCAACAGTTAACAGTTAACAGCAACAGTCAACAGTCGTCAACAAGCAACAGTCAACAGCCAACAGTCAGCAGTCAGCAGTCTACAGTCAACAGTCAACCGTCAGCTGTCAACAGTCAACAGTCAACAGTCAACATTCAACAGTCAACAGTCAACAGTCAACAGTCAACAGTCAACAGTCAACAGTCAACAGTCAACAGTCAACAGTCAACAGTCAACAGTCAACAGCATTAAATATCTAGATTCTTTGTTTCAAAAGTAAATTAATTTTATCAAAATTTTAAAAGTTTGTTCTTAAAAAGTTTTGTTTTTAATTTGTTGAAAAATCTGAGATGGTTTAAAAAGTATTTTTTCATAATATAAGAAAATACAAGCGGTTGCAATGAAAATATCTTTTAAGGGAAAATAGTTTTTTAGAAAGAGCAGCGTAAAGCGCCTTTAGCAATTGGACTTTTTTATGTTATGAACTCAATATTTAACCGTCCTGAATTCTAAATGGAGACTGACGCGGTAAAAAATTAATTAGCTTTGGCTTAAAGATGGCATTTGTATACGTGGATAACAATATGGAAATCATTGTTAAGATATATTTTTCATTTTTCATATTGTTGCATTTACTATGTATAATTTTAATAAAAGTTAAATTCACGAGAGAATGAAAAAAGTTTCAACACGGCCAAGAAATGATGGTTCACCATAATAAATATCCAATAGCAAATAAAGGATTTTAAAACGTTTAATAAATTTCACAAATCCCCTGAAGATTCTTCCAAAGGCCTGTTTTATAGGATGTAAGATTTCAAATGCAGGCCGAGTTAAGTAATGTCCTTGATATATTAATCAAATAAGTTCCTGGAAAGAAGCCAAATCAAGAGTAAGGTGCAGTAAAACTAACATTTACAGCCACATAAACCTCAACATAAACCTTCAGGGTACATAGAGATATGTAGAACTCATCTGCTCTAATATTCTCTAATAGAACCAGGAGGTGGATTTCTAGATCTTCTCTAATAGAACCAGGATTAGGATATCTAGATGTCTCTAATAGAACCAGAAGTTGGATATCTAGATTTTCTCTAATTGAACCAGGAGTAGGATATCTAGATATCTCTAATAGAACCAGGAGAAAGATATCTAAATCTTCTCTAATAGAACTAGGATTAGGATATCTAGATATCTCTAATAGAACCAGGATTATGATATCTAGATATCTCTAATAGAACCAGAAGTTGGATATCTAGATTTTCTCTTATAGAACCAGGAGTAGGATATCAAGATATTCTCTAATAGAACCAGTATTAGGATATCTAGATATCTCTAATAGAACAAGAAGTTGGATATCTAGATTTTCTCTTACAGAACCAGGATTAGGATATCTAGATTTTCTCTAGAACCAGGAGTAGGATATCTAGATATTCTCTAATAGGACCAGGAGTAGGATATCAAGACCAGGAGTAGGTTATCTAGATATTCTCTAATAGAACCAGGAGTAGGATATCAAGATATTCTCTAATAGGACCAGGAGTAGGATATCAAGATATTCTCTAATAGGACCAGGAGTAGGATATCAAGATATTCTCTAATAGGACCGGGAGAAGGACATCTAGATCTTCTCTAATAGAACCAGGAGTAAGATATCAAGACCAGGAGTAGGATATCAAGATATTCTCTAATAGGACCGGGAGAAGGACATCTAGATCTTCTCTAATAGAACCAGGAGTAAGATATCAAGACCAGGAGTAGGTTATCTAGATATTCTCTTATAGAACCAGGAGTAGGATATCAAGATATTCTCTAATCGAACCATGAGTAGGATATCTAGATATTCTCTAATAGAACCAGGAGTAGGATATCTAGATCATCTCTAATAGAACCAGGAGTAGGATATGTAGATCTTCTCTTATATAACCAGGAGTAGGATATCTAGATATTCTCTAACAGAACCAGGAATCAAGATATTTTCCAAGCCATAAGTTTAAGAAAAATCCTAAAACTAAGAAAAGTAGAAAAGTTTAGACCTGGTAACATCTGGTGAGTCTGAGGATATTTGATCGGGAGAAAAATGTTTGATATTAAACAAAACTTCCTGATCGATAACTAAGGTTTCCGCCTAGGTTACAATTCAGAGGACTGGACGTTGGCTCCAAAACGTGATTTGGCCATTTCTAACACCGAAGTTATCTTTTTCAAGCGTAAATATCTTACAATCCAAGCCCAGTAGAACAAAACTAATTATAAGGTGTAATAGTTATTTTTTAATGAATCTTGATTTAATAACCCTGTTTTGGGACTTATTTTTCCTGCAATTGGAAAAATATGCCCAATTAAAAGAGAGTTTTTTAAGATCAAATTATGACTTTAATTTATCACATACGCCTTCTGATTCTTCTGATCTTTAGACCAGAAAAAACTGTTCTTTGGTCTCTTATTAATAGAATTTATTTTGAATTTATATTATGATATATTTATTACTTACTTCTTTTTTGTTCTCACATAATGATATGTTTTTAAGAATCCACCCCCTCAANGGTTGTATAAACTAAAGTATGCATGATAAAACCTTATGGATTAAAAAAAAACTGTCTTTTATGGCCTTGATTTAAAAAAAACGGTATTGAACTCCCTGCTCTTGAGAATAAATGTGAGAGGAAATGTAAGGGATTATATACATCTCTGTTGTGTAATGAAGGAGAAGCTTCCATCTCAAAAGACAGTAATAGAAAGAAAGAAAGAATCCAGAAAAAACCCAGGATTTTCAACACCATAAAAATTGTTCTTCTCATTCGGAGAAGAACGGTAAAGAAAAAATTGAGAACTTAACAATATTGATTTTAGTTTATGGGATAGGCATTATTAAAGTACTTAGTTTAATTATGTTAAAGAGACTGTAAGCGCAATTTAAAGTAACCCTCCGTAAAAAGTTGACAAGTGAGATTCACAACGGTACCCTTCAAACCAGTGTTACGGATCCGGATCCGGATCCGGTCGGATCCGTATCATTTGGTCGGATACGGATCCGGATCCGTATCAGGATGCGGATCCGATATGGATCCGGGTAGCGTCAAAAATTAACCAAAACCATGGAATAAATAAATCAAAATGGTTCGTGAATGTATTATTTACATTTTACATGACGAAAATTTTTCAAAATTATCTTTAATAATTTAATGTTTACATTTATATAATAGTAAATTAATGACGACATTTTTAAAATAATAAATATAGTTTATAAATTATAACCTTGCATAACATTTAAAAGGGAAAATCCGATTCACAGAATCAAAAGTTACCTCGGATCCGGATCCGGATCCGTATCAAGAGCGGGATCCGGATCCATGAACACGGATGCGGATCCGCGGATCCGGATCCAAATCAAAATGATATGGATCCGAAACACTGCTTCAAACATTATGCTATTTAATAATCTGGAGAATATTGTCACGTTTAAAGGGAGTGACCGGCTATGTAAGGTAGTTGAACTGAGTATGCAGTGTTGTGGAAAACTTCTTTCGGATTCATTTGAGGCATATTAAACTTTTTAAAGATATGTAAATCCTGAGTTTGAGCGCAAATTCGACGTTCAAAACTCCTACTTTGGGGGTGGATACGTTTACAGAATTAGTTTTATTAAATTATTACATAACAACAACGAAAAATAAAGTAAAAAATAAAAATTATACAGTTGTCTAATTAGATTTATAGGAACATATTTCTCAAAAGAAATTTGTCAATAAATCAATGCTAAAATCGATTATTTCGTTTTCATTATTATATTGAATTTCTAATTTTCTTTGTATTTATTCGCAGATTTCTTCAAATTCTTCAAATATCGTCTTTTCAATAATAATTCTAGAAAATCTACGAGCATCTTTGTGAATAATGAGAAACCAGAATAATGAGATAATAGAAACCGATAATTGAACAAGATTACTTATTTTCGATGATAAGATTATTTTTATTTTCTCAACATGTTCCTTTTCATGACGTCTGTAGTTTATTGTAGAACTTTTTTTATATTTTATGTCGACATTATTTAATAATCTAAAAAAACTAATTCTAAAAACGTATCCACCCCCAAAGTAGAAGTTTTGAGCATCGAATTTGCGCTCAAACTCAGGATTTACAGATCTTAAAAACGTTTAATATGTCTCAAATGAATCCGAAAGAAACTTTCCACAACACTGCATACTCAGTTCAACTACCTTACATAGCCGGTCACTCCCTTTAAATGTGTTTAATTCTGATAATTCTTAAATGTTTTCCTACGGTAGAAGTTACTTTTGTAGAGAAACCACAATTGAAAACAGTCAATTTTTAAAACTATAAACATTAATATTAAAATCATACTTGAGCAGACAAAACTGTTAAGGGCCCCGTTGTGTCTTGTGAGCATCACTTGAAATTATGCTGACAGTCCCTTTAATATTATATTAAATTTCCAACCGAATATTATGCTGACAGTCCCTTTAATATTATATTAACTTTCCAACCGAATATTATGCTGACAGTCCCTTTAATATTATATTAACTTTCCAACCGAATATTATGCTGACAGTCCCTTTAATATTATATTAACTTTCCAACCGAATATTATGCTGACAGTCCCTTTAATATTATATTAACTTTCCAACCGAATATTATGCTGACAGTCCCTTTAATATTATATTGAATTTCCAACCGAATGGACATTGATCCAACAACAGATTTGAACCAGGAGTTAATCGAGTAATAGAAAATTTAAATCTGAATAAAATATTTGAAAGAATATTGGCTCCGGATGAGAAATGGCATCGGTTGCAGGAAGCAGTAGAGCTTGCATTGGAAAACAACAATAAAAAAGAAAATATACGAATACATATATTCACCATTTTCTCAAATCCAGGAAGTTTAATTGAAGAAAATTTATTTGCAAAAGCTTGAAATCAATGCAAATATGTTAAGTAAAAATATTGTTTTCCGGTTCTAATCCTAAACACTAAGTAAAATGATAAAAATAAGCTGCCAGAAATTCTGGAGAAAAAAAAACGAGAAAAAAACAAGAAATATCTGAAAATTGTCAAATTTCATGATTTGAAATATGATTTGGATTTCTTAAAAGGACCGTTAACTTATTTGGGTAATTTCGGGGTAAACTAAATAGCTTATTAGCTATTAAGTAGAATTGGTCTTACTTTTCAAAGACAACTGTGGCCGGAGAAAAAGCCGTTTTTTCGTTCAGAATTCGAGCGCAAAGGGAGTGTCCCATTTATGATGTTATTTTATCGATGTCATTGATTAAAAAAATTTCGATTATAAAATTAAACTGTAATATCTAATCGATATTTTTTTATACTTTCTTTTTCTTCCATAACATTTTTTTTAGCGCATAGAACATTTTGTATCGCTTCTCTGTAAAATGCTGCAAATAGAACGCGGCATGAAAAATGAAAGGTTGCGCTCATACGGGAACGGGATTTTAAATTATATTTGGGTAGTTCAAAGTTGATAATAAATTAGACAACTGATTGAGGGGTGTCATCATCCGAGGGGGTAGGGGGGGGGGAATCTAGGATTTTTAACCTTTCTGGCAATAACAGATATCGGTTGGAGAACTAACAGAAGCTATGTATGTGTGGAGAGAACCGAATAAAGAGCGGTTCTCCCATCCCTCTCCGAAAGGTTTAAAAATAAACTATTTTGGATTACTCATAAATGCATCATTGCAAGTAAGATGTATATTTTACTTACAACGAACACGGAGTTAAATCTTTGAACCGAAATTGCGTAATGATTTATTGATTGTCAAGCGTCGTCTTTGTGTATACATTTTAAATGTTTTAATACGAAAAACGTAAATTTATTGCTAACTCAAAATTCAAAAGTTTTCATATTTATAATAGATAATGCATAATGGCATTGAAGTATGATAAATTTAAATTTTTTTGGACGGATGTTTTTTTAAACGTCTAGTATAAAAAATCGGCTTTTACTGCGACCACAGTTTTCTTTGAAAAGTAAGACTAATACCAATTAACAGCGAATAGGCTGCTTAATTTACCATGAAATTAACCAAATAAGTGAACGGTCCCTTAAAAGTTTATTTAGTTTTCTAGCTTTGACAATAAGGTGTCATTGGAAAAAGTTAGAGATCTGCTGATGTAAAAGAAATTAACAACTAATTTGGTAGAAAGGGCAAGCTTGGGTTTAGAACAGGGTATCCCCAGAACTCTTTTGATAGGACTGAACAAATTTCATGGGGTTTCTTGAGTTCTTTTATCATTTGGTTACAAGGCTCATCCTTTTATAGTTTTATTTGATTTAACTAGAATATATTTTACGCAAAACTAAGTAACTTTTAGATATTATTAATTATTAAGTTCTAGGTTTTAATTCCATTTAATTCTTATCTAATCATAGACTTTCAGGTTTTCATGTCATTTAATTCTCATTTAATCATTTGTGACTTTCAGGTTTTCATGTCATTTAATTCTCATTTAATCATTTGTGACTTTCAGGTTTTCATGTCATTTAATTCTCATTTAATCATTTGTGACTTTCAGGTTTTCAGGTCATTTAATTCTCATTTAATCATTGAGTTCAAGGTTTTCAGGTCATTTAATTCTCTTTAATTATTGAGTTCCAGGTTTTCAGGTCATTTAATTCCCATTTAATCATTGAGTTCCAGGTTTTCATGTCATTTAATTCTCTTTAATTATTGAGTTCCAGGTTTTCAGGTCATTTAATTCTCATTTAATCATTGAGTTCCAGGTTTTCAGGTCATTTAATTCTCATTTAATCATTGAGTTCCAGGTTTTCATGTCATTAAATTCTCATTTGATCATTAACTTTCAGGTTTTCACGTCATTTAATTCTCATTTGATTATTAACTTTCAGGTTTTTATGTCATTTAATCATTGCGTCACAGATTTCAATTATGAAAGGGGGGGGGGGCATATTTCCAGAATCCCTACCCCCCTCCATATCTCTCTGACAGGAGATCGTGATTTTAAAATATAAAGGAATATTAGAGGATGACACTTCAAATTACAAGTTTTCCTATGTGTATATCTTTTTCTAAAAACTATATAATCATTTTGCCAAAAGTTAAAGTTTACTGTGGTTAGAAAGAAATTTCGCAGCAGCGGGGAGGGGGGGGGGGAGAGGGGGGTATAACCCTATATATATATATATACTGCCCTCGGCCCCTACTCATAAATCTAATAAACATCCTTCCTAAATGCTTTATATGAAATATTGGGACAGTTTGCCAAAAAGATTGAGTGTTTATCACAAATAGTCCGGAGGCCAGAAGGTCAAGCAGCTAGGTTTAAAGAAACGGAGATAGTAGCTTTTGTGTGGATATTGGTAATCCTAAACATTGATCTTGTTATCCAATGTGGGCACTTATAAATCTTGGTACCTTAATTAAAGTTATCGAGAGTTACCACACAAAAGTTTTGACTTTAGAGGTTGAAAATTATGTTTTGAGTCTAGTTAATCTTGAACTCTTTATCTGATATTAAGTGTGAGCACTTCTAAATTGGAGGATTAATAAATTAATCCGTAGATTTGCATAAAATGAAGATCAATGTTTATAAATTTGAAGATTAATAAATTAATCCGTAGATTTGGATAAAATGAAGATCAATGTTTATAAATTTGAGGATTAATAAATTAATCCGTAGATTTGCATAAAATGAAGATCAATGTTTATAAATTTGAGGATTAATAAATTAATCCGTAGATCTGCATAAAATGAAGATCAATGGTTAATCCTGAGATTCACAACACAAAGTGATGACTTCTGGTCAGTGGTCATTCTTTTAACTCTCAGGAAGATAAATAAATAAATATTCAGTGAAGATTTGCCGCTCATCCTCCCCCCTTTCCTTATTTCTAATTTCCCATAAACTGAATTGTTGAAACTATTAAACGAACAACTTAAGGTTGATCCTTTCCAACAAACCTCTTGTAATTGCGTCAATGCATACACTTACAGAGTAATAGATTGGAAACCCAGCGTTGCCTAGGGTATTTAAAATTAATCCCGTCGTTTACCCGCGCTTGGTCGTAAATTACGATTTTAGCTATTTCTTCCTATAAAAGTGGACCCACTCCGTTTAGAATCTCAAAACCAAGCTACATTCCCGTGGTTCTCCTGAGTTCCCCAATTAAACTAGTCAAGGGGTTCATGAGTTATGATCAGACATACAAACAAACAGAGATTACAACTTTATATATATATATATACCTATACGGCTATTAAAGATTATATCTTCATTAGTATAAAATGCGTTAAAGAAAAAGTAAAGCCAGTAAAATGGTAAATAAAAAATATGTTTTCCCCTCAAAATTTTAAGAAGGGCTTCCTTGACCCTGAAAAAGTTAAATAACACTAACAAGCCACCAGAGAATGAGATTAGTTTACAAAAAAGTATTGCATGTTTATTAATGATTTTAAATAATGTTATATCTTAAACTGTAATAACTGATCTTCATAGACAAAACAAATTATAAATTAAAAACTCTTGAGATATTTTCAATTAAAAGAAAAAGCAAATATGAAAATAATTGTTTATAATCCTAACCTAGTTCAACTTCAGTTTAAATACAACGGAACTTTAATAAATTTATGTGGGAGCTGCGATATAGAAAGTCTTAAAGCCAACAGATCGGATTTTAGCTAGTATTATTAATTTCATTTTTATCATTATTATTATTATTTTTATTATTACTATTATACAGCGTTTGGTATATGTAATATCCAGTGCAAGATCAGTGTTTGATCCTGGATCAATGCTTACTCCTGAATCAGTTGTTTTAGATCCTGGATCAGTGTTTAATCTTTGATAAATGTTTTATCCTGAATCAGTTGATTTAGCTCCTAAATCAGTATTTGATCCAAGATCAATTTTGATTCAAGGTTGATTCTGATTCAATCTCTAAAATTTTTTGTTATTTTCTCCGATCACCCGCTGATCCTAGCTTTGAGACTCCCAGTCCCAATATGAATAAGTTCCTACCTTATACACGAATGTTCCCTCGCACCCTTTCCCAAGAACTATATCAGGATGGAAGGTTAGGTTCCCAACCCTAATCTCTCCGGTAGCCAGCTCAACAGGGTTAGCTGTTATCTCATAATTGCTATGACTGTTAACCGAACCTGAAAATTCAACCATAAAAATTTATGTTAAAAGGACTGTAAGCGTAATTTCATGTGACCCTCCATTTAAAGACAATTGAAAAATTATAAACATTGATATCTAAATCATACTTGATCAGACAAATCCTTTCAGGGTACCGTTGTGAATCGGACATTGCCTTCTTAGAATGGAGGGTAACTTGAATTAAGTGTAAATATTTCAAGTCTTTATCTAGAAAAATCAAGACCAACAAAGAGGGAAAAGGGATAAGGAATAAGGATGGATTAAAAAAAATAAAAGTCTAAAAAGTTACCCTGAGAGGCTGAGTTGCTGTGTGTTCCCATCCTCTCCCAGACCTTGAACTGATATTTCACAAACCTGACAAAAACTTCATATTTTACACTTTTCTAATTTTCCTCCAGAAATGAGTTTCTTCTCCGTTAACAGATAAGTCAGATAGAACAAGAAAGTATTGGTTCTGAGCTGGAAACTCTAGTATTGAGGATATCGAGATCAATGCTTCTCTCATCTTTTTGTTGATCTGCAGATTAATTAAATTTTATATGATATCCAAAAAAGTTTCCAAAATTCAACCAATCAGAGTGTCATTTGCAGAAACCGAACAGCCAATCAGAAGCCAGGAAATGTTGCGCGACACCAATGAGAGAACTCTCATTGGTCGAAGCCCAGCATGAATATCCAAAAGAGAGGATTAAGTAGAAATTTAAAAGTGTCGACAGTGAATATTGAGTATCTAATTAGAGAGTTTCCAGTTCTGGTACAACGGTACAACTTTGTGACCTCGTAGCTCCTCTAGTTCTGATTTTACTATTATTTTTGTTGAGTGAAACTGAATAAAGCTAATTCGTTAGCACTGTCGTTCACAAAATATTTCGTTCGTTAACGAAAACATGCCCATCTCTAAATCCGGGCTTGCCTTAAAAAACAGATCTTTTTGTTGAAAATATCAAAACCATGAGAAGTATGATTTAATGACTGAACTTTAAGAATGTTGAGTGAATACAAGATGCAGTATAGTTTCAACTTGAATATAAATATGAATATGAATATGAATAAAGAATATGAATAATGAACAATATCTTCATCCTTTTTTGTCAGGCAGAGAAATGAGTTAAAGGGAATGATATCAATTTTTTAAAAAATGGGTAAAATAGAACTAAAACAAACATTATCTGGATTTTGACCCTAGACCGTAGACAAATAATTTCTTTTGGCTTTAATGTTTTCAGTGCATAGGATTCTAAACCAAATCATGATAAAAACGTTGTTTTCAATCGAACAAAAGACGAACTAGACTAGATTGAGAGATAGTTATATTTCTCCTATACTCTCATAAGCCAAATAAATGAAATTATAAAGCTACAGGGTGTCCGAATAAACATGGGAATTCAAAACGAATTCGATATCGTCTTTTCAAATAATTCTTTGATTTAGTATAGTGATACCTACTGAGAAAGCTTTAATCTGTAAGAGTTTCGTGAGCTATGTTCACATATTGTTTATTTATGTTTTGACTGCATACGGTTGTACTTAGTAAAACAAGAAAATTGCAGTATACAAACAGATTCACTGTTCATCTTCCGGAGACATTGTTGACACATCTTTACAGCCATTTACCGTTTTCATAAATTAAACTCTAGCAGACATAATTATATTATGGCTTTTGAAATTAGGTATTACAATGCTAATTCATAACAAAGACGATATCCAATTCGTCAATAAATTCCCATGTTTTTTGGGACACACTGTAGCAAAACGAAAATATTTTTCAAAATTTAGTTTTCATACATAAAATCTAAATTGAAATTCAACCAAGTTTTATGTTCAAAATTTTTAAAGAGTTGCCGTGTCAAATAAACATAACTTTGTTAAAACGTTATTATAAGTTTACTAAAACCTGACACAACAATGCATTCTGTGGATCAAATAAAAATGAGCTACATTTTGCTCTTGTACGGCGGTAGGCGATTATATCAATATAATGAAGGCGACTTTTTATTTAAGTTTTAATTCTTGACGAGCTTTTTTCGAATTACAAGTTTACACTAAATTAAACAGAAGCATTTTTAATAAAGAGTTTCTCATTGTTTCAATTTTTTTGTGTATCCTTGCTGTTTAAAAGCTTGATATAAGTCAAAGTGAAACTAGGAAGTCGTCTTCATTGTATTGATATAATCGCCTAACACTGTACCTAAAAAGTGAACATTTCCTTTAAACCTATTTATCGTTATATCTAATTGCTTAGTTGCAGAATCTTATATCTATTCTCAGAACCCATCTCAGAGCAAATCTTTTGGATTTGAAACAAGAGATTTTAGTGCTCAGACAATTCTGATACCAACATAAAGGGACTGTAAGCGTCATTTCAAATTAGTCTTCATGCAAAGATCGTAAGGCCGGATTCACAACGGTACCCTTAAAACCTTTTTCTGATCAATGATGTGGAAAACATTGTCTTGTTTCTAGGGTTAAAAGGGTTTACTTATGAATATTCCTAAATGTTTTCCTGCAGTAGAAATGCGCAAGTCGCTTTAGTAGAAAAACCACAATTGAAAATAATCAGTTGTTCAAATTTATCCACACTAATATCTAATTAATACTTGATCAGACACAGCTTTTAGGGTTACCTTGTAATTCGGGCATCGCCAGCTTTGCATGGAGGGTCAATTAAAATTACACTTACTGGTCCTTTAAGGCGTTAAACTGTGCCATATAAATATAAAGGTTAGTTGCTGAAGAATATGATCTATCCCATAAAACATTTATGGTTTGAATCATTTTTGGATCACAAAAAAGGTTGAGTATAAATTTCACTTTCATTTTTTTTTATCAAGAAAATGTATTTAAATAATACCTGATGAACCAAATAACTGTAAAGAAGAGAACAAGAAAAATCAGTTTAAGCTCCTGATAAAGTGCAAATTTAAACATTTGAACGTTAATTTATTCTTAAACTGACTTAAATCTTCCGACTCAACATTAGTGTAAAATATATGCAAAGCTAAATGGAATTTCATTCCATGTTGATTATTCTGAAAAAGAACAACTTATGCTAATTAAGTCTTGAATATTTAAATTAAATAATAAGAAAGAAAATTGCACCGGATTCCTTGTTTTCAATCTGTTGAAGGATATGGGCTGAATGTGGAATTAGCTCCTTGTGCAGGAAATTAATAAGATCTCTTGAGAATAAAAAGGTTGTGTTTAGTTTCAATATCTGCTCAATGCCGCGGTGCAGATTATCAACCACGTGTTCTGTGCCGATGGTTTGGTTTGTAAAATTTTCAATGAGTTTGATCTGGTCATCGGACTGGAGAGGATTTAATGATGTTATTAGGTATGGAGTGAGACCAGGACTAGGTTCAGGCTTGTATTCTGGAATCTGATAATATCCTAAACACAGTTTAAATATTAATAATCTTGAAATCCGATTTAAATCCACATTTATGTCTCAAAGCAATATCGGAGTTCTATAGTTGACTTAAGTTAGCTGAATCCTAAAGGAGATAAGTGAAATGAATGCATTAGAAACTTTGTAAAATCCATTAAATTTAAGATGTATGCAATCAATTTTTAAAATTATGAATGCAAATTTTAAAGTTATTATCATTATTTAATTAATATATTATAATCAATTTAATATTCGCAAAAGTTGCATTATTTTATTCTAAATGCAAATTGGTTTGAATTGCTCATTGAATTGTTATTTTAATTGAATTGAAAAATGATATATATGTTAATCCATTTCAATAAATAAACATGGTTTGTTTCTGATTTATAAATAACTATACTTTGCGCCCGTTTCCTGGATTAAGTTGCAATTTTTAATCGTTTCTGTTTAAATTGGTGCATTTTCAAAATAAAAAATTTTGACATTTTTTCGGAAGTTTTTAACTTCCGACTAGCCATAAATCTTCCCTAGGGTAATGGGAGTTCCTTTGAACATTTTGGGCTCGATCGGTTCAGCCGTTTTTACGTTTGGATACAATAAAATAAACAAACACCCAAACAAAGTATGGATGTAGATGAAATAAGAATTGTGTTTTAATAAAAAGGTTTTTTGAAGTTGGTTTGTATTGTTAGCCCCCCCCCCCGACCCATCTATTCATCATGTTCTGGTAAAAAAGAAAGATTCTGCAGAGAGACCCAAATGCTTATGTTCTAACCCTCCTCTATAATGTATTCCACCTTCCTAACTTCCAACTATTCTTCCAGAATATAGAACCAGGGAAATTAGTAAATTCCTGGAGACTGGGCATTTAATGGGACATCTTATTAAAAATATGCACACACATTATGACAGAGAACTGAGAACAGATGTACACTGAATTCAGAAAATGTTCCAACTTAAAAACTGAACTATGAATAAATTTTAATGAAATCTTTCAAAATATTTTTAAAAGTAGAAACATAGTATTTTTTATAAAAATAGTTGCAAACCAATAGTTTCTATTATATGCACACAGAGATATATTATAATTATCTTTTTTTAATTTCTAAGGAATTGGGTTTTTGTCACAAACTCAATTTTCCAATCCCTATCTTTATAACCCGAAGTTGTAAAAGTTTGATATTTCCAACTATGAATTCTGTTAGGTTAAATAGTCTAAGTTTAAAATTTCTATTTGTTTTCATTGATCTTTAAAAGCCATTCTTACAAAACCATCTGACATTTTAAATTTTAAAGCACCTTTGTAAAACTTGTTCACAGGAATTTATTTGAATGGTCAGATGGTGCTTAATCGCAGTTCTTTAAAGTACCCTGCAACAATCTAAAATGTATCTTAAAACCCCAAAAATGAAATATTGTTCCAAAAAAAAAGAAAATATTAGACATTTTATTTTCTGCCTCACTGGCTAATAATTAACAATATAATCTCCCTGGCTCTCAGTGCACTTTCAACAGGATAAATACAGAAGGTACAGTGCAGGAAAACATTTTCAATGGATACAATAATTCGTAATTGAAAAATCACATTTTTCCCCAAAAAGCTAGTTTTTTTTTATGGATTTACACGCTGAATTTTTAATAATTATTAGTGGAAAATCTTCAAAATAAAAAAAATGGGAGTAAGTCTTAAAAATATACACCTCTGTAAAATATCTTTGTCAGGATTTTTAGGCTTAAAAAAATAATAAAATGTACTAAAAAAAAATATTATTTTTGGAACGTTGAAACCCAATTTGGTTCTGAAAAAATGATATTTGTTGAAAAATTGTCGGAAAAATGTTTATTCTATTGTTTACCAAAATTTCATAAAAAATCATAATAAAACTGAATGAAAAAATTGAAAAATCCGCTAAATTTTAGAGTGCAAATCTGCAGTAACTAAATGTTATAAAATTAAAAACTATAAGAATAGTTTTGCTTCGCAAAACTTATCCTTTTATAGTTTTCCTTGATAACCTTGAATTGTTGACTTCAAAATGCAAATTATTGGCCATTATTTCATGTATCTCATTAAACTTCTTAAAGAATTTTTGAAAACAATAAAATGAACATTTTTAAACAATTTTTCAAAAAATTTATATTTTCAAAAAAAATTGGTTTCGCGGAATTTTTTTCTCTCAATGGTTAAAAAAATATTTTCATGAAACTATTGTGCACTTTATCATTCTTACTCACTTCATGGTAAATTTTATTATGAACGTGCTATTAAGTAATCATCGTGCAAGTTTAATCTATAAAGTTTAGATTGGTTCCCTAAAGCTTGGGACAAGATAAAATCTAAAAAGGCTTGAACCTTCTCGATAAAAACAAATTCTGTCAATCAATCAGAGTTTTAGGGACATCCTACTAACCACATGTCATGCTCAAGATGAATTAAATAAATTGAGACTTATGGGCTTATAGTGTTGCGATAGGTGCTCTAACTGAAATTAAATAGTTACAAATTCAGAGTTATTTAAATTTTTTAAAAACATTTTTTTGCCTAAAATCCGAACAAAATTTGTTTTAAAGTTTTGTCCAAAACATCGATAATCCCGGTTTATTTACTCACCCTGTATATATATAAACTTGAAATCTCTGTTTGATTGTTTGTTTGTCAGATCATAACTCGTGAACTCATTGATCGATTGCCTCAAATTTTGATTGGGCAACGCGGGAGAACCACGGGAATGTTCTTACCTTTATGGGTCCACTTTAATAAGAAAAACTGGCTAAAATCTTATTTACGCCGAAGCGTGGATAAACTGCGGGAGTAACTATGAGTAGCCTGGGTAGTGGGTAATGTGAGTTCTCAAGCTATTAACTAGATAAAATGATAAATATACTCCAACTTACCGAACACGAGTAGAGATGATTTTTCACTTGGTAAAGCACTGACCAAGAGTGGTTTACTACCGGACTTCTAAAATATTTAACATTACTTAAATTATATATATATCTAATTTTGATTTAAAATTTTAGTGTTTTAAGCTTGTTCAAAACGAACCTTATTTTAAAAAATGAAAAATATATTGTTTGGATAAATTTGGTTTCATCATCTTTAATAATTTTCAAAGAATAAATACAGCCGACCACAGTTTGGAAATAGCAGGACTAGAAGTATTTTATGTCTTTTGTTTCAACAATCATATTTGTAAAGTTTCATTATTATTATTATTAACATTCAACCTATAGTCAAAGAATCATGATCCTTAAGGACAATGATCCTCCGAGCTCTAGGGTCGAGCTCCAGCCACTTCCCCTTTCATACATACAATTTTAAGTAAAACATATCGGGTTCACAACAGCAACATGCGCATTTCTGCTTCAGAAATAGTGGAGTTAGTTGTCAGAATCAATCACTTATCAAGCTGTAAAATTTCGCTGATTTCCAAATAAAGGTTCAAGGGGTACTGTTGTGAATACAACATGCCCCCTTTTTTAAATGAAAGGTGCCTTAAAACTACAACGACAGTCCCTTTAAACTAGGTTTTTTATCTGGTTCACCCTGTTCTTTATTACCTCGTCCTCCCGCATATTAGTGCTGTCCTCGGGTCCTGGAGAAGGTCCTGCAGATAAATAGATTTCTATTTCCGGTATTCAAGGTTACACTTCCGGTCTAGTCTATAGTCTAGTCTTCGGACTCGGGAATCTTGTCTCTTATATCTTGTTTATGGTCTCTTGTCCATAGTGGTAGGCGATTATATCAATACAATGAAGCCGACTTTCGATTTCAATTTTTATTGATATTCAACATTTAATCTGCATGGATACACATAACAATGGAAATAGAGAGAAGCTGTAGATTAAAAAGCTTCTCATTAATTCCTAACAAATTTGTAATTCGATAAAAGCTTGGTAACAATCAAATATTAAATTAAAAGTTGTCTTTATTGTAATGATATATTGACTACCACTGTATGATCGCCTTGAGTGTGGCCTCTAGTTTTTTAAAGCCAATTGATTATTGTTGCCTAGAGTCTAAGGTCGTCTTTAATAGTATATGCCTATGGTCCAAGAACCAGGGTATAATATGATCTACGGTCTAATGTATATTGTTTACGGATCTACTAAGTTTTATTGTCTATGATCTAAGGGTTAAAGGCATCTTGTCTTTGATTATATTGTCTATTATCTAGGCTTTTAGGTTTAATGTCTATAATCCAGTGTCTATGATGATCTATTGTCTTTGATCTACTGTCTATGATCTATGATCTACTGTCTATGATCTATAATCTATCGGCTATGATCTATTGTCTATGATCTATTGTCGTCTATGATCTATTGTCTATGATCTATTGTCTATGATCTATTGTCCATGATCTATTGTCTATAATCTATTTTCTATGATTTATTGTCTATAATCTATTGTCTATGATCTATTGTCTATGATCTATTGTCTATGATCTATTGTCTATGATNGAGGTTGTCTAAATAGAGAAATCATATTGTCTATATATTGTCTATGATCTACGGGTCTAAAGTTTACCTTCTATAAGGAGAGGTTGTCTAAATAGAGAAATCATAATTGTCTATATATTGTCTATAATCTACGAGTCTAAAGTTTACCTTCTATAAGAAGAGGTAAATCATAATTGTCTGTATATTGTCTATAATCTACGGGTCTAAAGTTTACCTTCTATTAGAAGAGGTTGTCTCGATGTAAAAATCATATTGTCTGTATATTGTCTATAATCTACCGATCTACAGTTTACCTTCTATGAGAAGAGGTTGTCTCGATGGAGAGATCATAATTGTCTGTATATTGTCTATAATCTACGGCTCTAAAGTTTACCTTCCATAAGAAGAGGTTGTCTCGATGGAGAAATGATATTGTCTGTATATTGTCTATAATCTACGGGTCTAAGGTTTACCTTCTATAAGAAGAGGTTGTCTCGATGGAGAAATCATATTGTCTGTATATTGTCTATAATCTACGGCTCTAAAGTTTACCTTCTATAAGAAGAGGTTGTCTAGATGGAAAAATCATATTGTCTGTATATTGTCTATAATCTACGGGTCTAAGGTTTACCTTCTATAAGAAGAGGTTGTCTCGATGGAGAAATCATAATTGTCTGTTTATCCACTAGACTAGGAACAGCGAACAGGCCGTAGGCGTGTTCACCAACATACAGCGTAGGAAACAACTAGAAATAAAATCAGTTTTAATTTTTATAAAATTATCTTTTAATCCCGAGAATCATGGAAAATTTGCAACAAAAAAATCACTACAACTGAAAATGATATACTTGATATGGCGAAAGAAATATTTCACTAGATTTAAATTTTTTAAAAACATATCTGATAACTCATCCAATTTTTAAAATATGAAGAAATAAATGGAAAAATGGTGAATTTGGTTTATACACGGTTCTAAATCCATTAAAAAATAGTTCCATTCCCATTTTTTAATAAATCATTTTCTGGTGAATATCAGAATCAAATCTTGAGCCCTTGGATGAATCAAACAACAAAAGTTTTAACATTTTCATTTAGAAATTCAGACTAAATTCTCATGCAATAATTTTGGCGAAATAAATTCCACCATATTGGCGTTTTGGGGATTTAAAGTAACAAGGAGAAATTAAAGGACAATCTTATTAATTTTAGAAAGGTTCTTTGATCTAAGAATTTAAAATGAATTATATTAGCATCTTCTTATATTTACATTTTGTAAATATTCAAAATAGATGAAAATAAAATGGAGTTAAATAAGTGTAAATTTACAGTTTTATTATATGGAAGAGGACTGTCCTTGTAGTTGTATAGAGTAGCATGTCATTGTCCAATTCACAACAGTATCCGTAAATAGCTTTGTCTGAGCTGGGAACTTTAGAATAGTGGATATCAGGATTAATGCTTGATCCTCTTTTTTTGCTAATATCGAGACTAACATAATCTCGAGATTATGTTAGTTTCGAGATTAAATATTTAGAGCAAAAAATTTGATTCAAGGAACTTAATTTCTCAAGCATTATTTATTAATACATTAGTTTAAATTAGTTAAAAAAGAATCTCAAACGTATTATTGAATATTTTTCTTCACCGATTAATTTACAAAATGACCGACAAAATATTCTTTATATTTTAGAAATTGCGGATTTCTCTCATGGGATAGAATTTATTTTCAAAGCTGTCATTGGTCAATACAATTTACGAACTATATGCCTGCACTCTCATTGGAGAAAACAATGTACGGATGTGGATTAAGGACTAAAATTAAAAGTTTCCACAGTGGATATTCGGATTAAGTAGTCGGGATTAAAGGTTATCCATTCTAAAGTTCCCTGAGCTGGGAACTTTTGAATGGTGGATATCGGGATTAATGCTTTATCCACTCTTTTTCTTAATCTCGAGATTAAATAATGCTTGTTCTCCTCTTATTATTAATCTCCAGATGAATTAACCGATTGGGATTAAGGATATTCCATTCTAAAGTTTTCAGCTCTGCTTCGATTGGTTATTTTCAATCGTGTTTTTCTGTAAAAGTGACTTGCGGATTTCTCGCTTGCTTGTGAGAATTATGAATCTTTCAGGTTGGAAAAATGACTAATCTTCCACATTATTTTGATCAGCTAAATATTTTAAGGGTACTGTTGTAAATCGAACATGTCTCCTAAAAAAAAAAGGAGGGTCTCTTTAAATTAAGTTACACTCCCTTTAAATTAGTCCAAAAATTTAGTATAAACTCTGGTCCCCATAAACCCCAAGTTTAGTGCGGTCTCTAATTTTTCATTCTCAGGGCATGTTAAATCTATAAAACGTTGCAAAAAAATCTAAAATCTCATTTACTTAGATAATAACAAAACATTTTAGATTTATATGGATTTTAATTAAAAGAATTGTTCTAATATATGTTTACAATCGCACTCCACAATATATCGTCTTGGGTTTGCAAAGTTGAGACCCCCCCTTCCTCCTATTAAGAAAATTCTCAGCTACGGGCCTTGCTTAAAATGGAACCCTGTCTATTACAGAAATAAATCAATGAAGAAAAATGGTTGAACTTGCAGTCTTCTTTTTTCTTTGCAAAATAAATTTGATTTTGTTGAAAAGATGAAAATTTCTAAAAACTCAGCAATTTATATCTTTTCTAGATATCTGCAGATTTATTTCAACCAAAGTATTTTGAAATTGTTGAATATTCATTGTATTATAATTATTTTAAAAAATTTTGGTTTCTGATAAAAATGCTTGTTTTTTAAAGCGTTTATTTATCACTCTAACTTTTGTTTAAAAAGCAAACTGCAATAAGATTTTTAACTAAAGATTTGTATGACTTCAATCTCGTTTTATTCTCGTTTTAATCTCATTTTAATCTTGCTTTAATCTTGTTTTCTTCTCATTTTATTCAAATTTTAATCTCATTCTAATCTTTTTTTGGATCTTTTTTGGATATCTTTTTAATCTTGTTATAATCTTGTTTTAATCTTGTTTTAATCTTGTTTTAATCTTGTTGTAATCCTGTTTTAATCTTGTTTTAATCTTATTTAATCTTGTTTTAATCTTGTTTTAATCTTGTTTTAATCTTGTTTTAATCTTGTTTTAATCTTATTTTAATCTTATTTTAATCTTGTTTTAATCTTGTTTTAATCTTGTTTTAATCTTGTTTTAATCTTGTTTTAATCTTGTTTTAATCTTGTTTTAATCTCGTCTTTTTACAACAAGATTTGTTTAATAAATAATAAATAAATTCAAATTCAGTATAGTTAATTCGTTTTTATTTAAGTTTAATGTTCTCGTAATAAATAGGAGGCAGACATTGCCAGACAACTGTTAAACAACTCCGTAGAGTCCCAGCATTTAATTTTAAACTTTCTAACAAGAAACTTTTAGAACTAATTATTTCCCCTGGAAAGATACTGCATGCATTTAAAATGCAAAAATATCAAAAAGTTCTGAAGGATGTTTTCGTGGTTTGAAAACTTATATGAGAACTTACACATTAAACAAGAACAGGATAGAAAAACAAACAAAGGATGGACATTGAACAAGAAAAGGCTAACAAGGACATGGTATAGAATACAAGGGATATACAAGGACAGAGTGCAGAATACAAGGGATTGACAAGGACAGGGTACAGAATACAAGGGATATACAAGGACCGGGTACAGAATACAAAGGATAGACGGGTACATAATACAAAGGATAGACAAGGACAGATTACAGAATACAAAGGATAGACAAGGACAGGGTACATAGTACAAAGGATAGACAAGGACTGGGAACAGAATACAAGGGATAGACAAGGACAGGGTCCATAATACAAAGGATAGACAAGGACAGTGTACAGAATACAAGGGATAGACAAGGACCGGGTACAGAATACAAAGGATAGACACGGACATGGTACAGAATAAAAGGGATATACATGGATAGGGTACAGAATACAAAGGATAGACAAGGACAGGGTACATAATACAAAGGATAGACAAGGACAGTGTACATAATACAAAGGATAGACAAGGACAGGGTACAGAATACAAGGGATATACAAGGACAGGGTACAGAATACAAGGGATATACAAGGACAAGGTACAGAATACAAGTGATATACATGGATAGGGTACAAAAATACAAGGAATAGACAAGGACAGGGTACAGAATACAAGAGATATACATGGATAGGGTACAGAATACAAAGGATAGACAAGGACAGGGTACATAATACAAAGGATAGACAAGGACAGTGTACATAATACAAAGGATATACAAAGACAGGGTACAGAATACAAGGGATATACAAGAACAGGGTACAGAATACAAGGGATATACAAAGACAGGGTACAGATTACAAGGGATATACAAGGACAGATTACAGAATACAAGGGATATACAAGGACAGAGTACAAAATACAAGGGATATACAAGGACAGGGTACAGAATACAAGGGATATACAAGGACAGGGTACAGAATACAAGTGATATACATGGATAGGGTACAGAATACAAGGGATAGACAAGGACAGGGTATAGAATACAAGGGATATACAAGGACAAGGTACAGAATACAAGGGATATACTAGGACAGGGTACAGAATTCCACACTTTAATAGGTCTCACAGCCCCCTAAAAATGTAAGATCAAACGTACCTTCGTTTCCCCGAGTTTTTCATCAGAAGATTCAAAGTTTTGAATTAAATTCTCCAAGGTCTCGATGCTAAACAATTAATCAATTAATCAATATTTCTCCAACGGACTTGAAAACAGTTGTATTATCGAGGTCAAAGATTTGGTGTGATTTAGCGCTAAACCAAACTTAAATCTCAAATCTTGATACCAACTTTGCCAATTTTTTAACTTGAGGATAATGTGCTTGATTCCTTAATTTTAATTATCCCTGTCCTAGGCTCCGATCAATGGATAAACAAGAGCAATTAAATAAATACTTTGGACGACACTAAACATAATTCACAACATAAAGTTTGACAAAAAGGTTGTCTTCAATTAATATTTTACATTTTACTAAAAATCATATCATATTCATTAATCAAGTTAATCAATTAATTAGTCAATTATTCAATCCATCAAACCATCCATCAATCAATCAAATAATTATTACCTGACAGAAGTAAAAGGCAGAGGAAAGATTGTGTCGTCATCAAGTTGGTACATAGCTACCACTGGACTATACAAACATATTTAAAATCAACGATATCGAAAAACTTTTCTGTATTACAAATTAAAATAATATCCCTATATACATAATGTTTCTCACGCAAATATCAATCAGGCCAATAAGCCAAACAGATATCAAAAAATATGTTTTCAAAAAAAAACTTTAAATCGACCAAAATAAGGTATAAACAAGTAAAGGAAAGAGAATAAAGAGAAAAATATGCCCCCCCCCCCCCTCCATGACTATTTTGAAAATCTAAGTATGTAGTATATATGTATTATGTAAAGCATGCAAAATCATTGTAGAATGTATGTACATTAACAATTAACTACTATTTAACAATTATTTTTGATTTTAAAAATTCCTGTTGAATCGTGTCTCCCATTCTACTCTGCCAGAACTCTTGTCCAGGGTTATAAGAATTCCAGTCGAACTATCGGAAAAATGCGCCAACTCGTAATCCTAAATTATAAGTATTTCAGTCGAACTATCAGAGAAATGCGCCAACTCATAGTCCTAAATTATAATTCAGTCGAACTATCGGAAAAATGCGCCAACTCATATCCTAAATTATAAGAATTCCCGTCGAACTATCGGAAAAATGCGCCAACTCATAGTCCTAAATTATAAATATTCCAGACGAACTATCAGAAAAATGCGCCAACTCATAGTCCTAAATTAGTCCTGTCGAACCATCAAAGAAATGCGCCAACTCATAGTTCTAAATTATTCTATTCGAACTATTAGAAAAATGTACCCTTAATTAGAATAAGCAAGGTGTTGTTAATATTAGGGGTGGAGTCAAGTTACTAAAGAAATGTGCCTGTTTTTCTCTCTCACTTTTTTGACAATTTTTTTTTATCAAATAAATGGTTAACATAATTAAGCATTATGTAAATGCTAATCTTATTTCATAATTTTTAGTAATGACCTGACCACACGTCTGTGCCCATTTATAAATAAAACTTTTGAAAAAAATATTAGTTATTATTTCGAGGTTCTTTTAAAATTAGTTTATAGTATGACTAAATTCTTGTTCTCCCATTTTGAATTTCTGATGAAAAGGTGTTTACTATTAGAATAAATACTTTAAAGAATACATTCCAGAAGAAAAAAGGAATCGGAGGACAGTCAAAATGTCTAATTAAAAGAGATTTTTTACTACAAAATCAAAATCTGAAAAATACACCAATTAATTATTTTTTGTACCTCCTCTGTTTTGTATATAAAAAAGTGAAACATTTTCAAAAAAGCGCTGTAGATCACCTTTTTGTAAAAAAATTCAATTAATTTTTACCTGAATTGGTTCTCTACTCCCCATATTAGAAGAGTAATCATAATATGTTATATTCCATTTCCGGTCACGTGTTCTTGTATCGTACATCATTATATTGTACTCTGTACGCCCTGAAGTACATAATTGTAACCCTATTATCTCTCTTTCGTTCGTTTATTTTATAGCTAAAAAAATTATTTCGTTCGTTCTAAAAATTATCGTTCACATTCCATCTATTTTGTTCATTTTCCTTCTATTTCGTTCGTATTCTCACTTTACGATCGTTCAGTAAAATCGTTCATTCATTAAAATCGTTCATTCATTAAAATCGTTCATTCAGTAAACACGTTTGTTCAGTAAACTTGTTCGTTCAATAAAATCGTTCATCACTGTAAGAAAGGACCCTGGACTTAGTTCTGGATATTACCTAAAAGAAAAGACCCTTGACTTAGTTCTGATATTACCTATAAGAAAGGGCCCTTGACTTAGTTCTGATATTACCTATAAGAAAGGGCCCTAAACTTTGTTCTGGATATTACCTGTAAAAAAGGGCCCTGGATATTACCTATATGAAAAGACCCTGAACTTAGTTCTGGATATAACCTATAAAAAAGGGCCCTGGACTTAGTTCTGGATATTACCTATTAGAAAGTACCCTTGACTTAGTTCTGGATATTACCTATAAGAAAAGACCCTAAACTTTGTTCTGGATATTACCTATAAGAAAGGACCATGGACTTAATTCTGGATATTCCCTATAATAAAAGACCCTGAACTTGTTTCTGGATATTACCTATAAAAAAGCACCCTGGACCTAGTTCTGAATATTACCTATGAGAAAGGACCCTCGACCTAGTTCTGGAAATTATGTGTAAAAAAGGACACTGGACTAAGTTCTGGATATTACCTAAAAGAAAGGACCCTGGACCTAGTTCTGGATATTACCTAAAAGAAAGGACCCTGGACCTAGTTCTGGATATTACATAAAAGAAAGGATCATGGACTTAGTTCTGGATATTACCTAAAAGAAAGGACCCTGGACCTAGTTCTAGATATTACCTATAAGAAAGGATCCTGGACTTGGTTCTAGATATTACCTAAAACAAAGGACCCTGGACCTAGTTCTGGATATTACCTATAAGAAAGGACCCTGGACCTAGTTCTGAATATTACCTATGAGAAAGGACCCTCGACCTTGTTCTGGAAATTATGTGTAAAAAAGGACACTGGACTAAGTTCTGGATATTACATATAAGAAAGGACCCTGGACTTAGTTCTGGATATTACCTAAAAGAAAGGACCCTGGACCTAGTTCTGGATATTACCTATAAGAAAGGACCCTGGACCTAGTTCTGGATATTACCTATAAGAAAGGACCCTGGACCTAGTTCTGGATATTACCTATAAGAAAAGACCCTGGACTGGCAGCTGGACATGTATTCTCTTCTCCTAATATACATCCTGAACAAAAATCAATACATTTTTTTAATTATTAAGAAAATACCTAAAGCAGATTAAGGTACTCCAGTAAAATTGTAGGGTATTGTACACTTGTACACTAAGCAAAATATTTATTACAAATTCTTTGGTTTTTATATTTTCTTTGGTTTTATTATGCTGTTCGTATCTTTTTTATTGGATAACAAATCTTCTGATAATGCCAGAGTTTTATCGAATATTATTGAAAATATGATTATTGATTTTGATTACGATGATAAAATTTGTTTTAAAATCATTTACCGACAAGTTATCTACAAAGTGGATGAGAGGAACTGTAAGCGTGATTTCGAAAGACCCTCCATGCGGAGATGTCAATGCTGGATTTACAACGGTACCCTTGAGTCTTGACATCTTTGTCTGATCAAATATGGGTTAGATATATATTTAGTTTCTTTTGACTGTTTATTTGACTATTTATAAGAAGCAACGGCGAAATTATCAGAATTAAACACTTTTCGAGTCAGAAAAACGACCGTACGACGTCATATTCCACATTTTTGATCAGATTAGGTTTCAAGGATATATAACGTTGTAAATTTTTGCATGGAGGGTTCTTGAAATTACGCTTACGGCCCCTTTAAGTGTCTGACCTAGATAATTAAGGGCGCCATGTTTTCTGCCTGTGTTTCGGTCAATTGAAAACCACGTGTCAACTTTCTTCCCCGAGTACAGAATACCCTGCAGTCAGTCAATCATACATCAATCAACACTTATAATACAATAACAGAACTTTTAATTTTAAAGAAATTGACAAGTAAAAATATAATAAAATTAAGCCTTAACCAGCCCCCCCCCCCCCATCTTGTTTGTATTTGCGTACATTTGATTTTGTGATCTTTAAAGCTTGCAAAGGGGGAGAGGGGGGGGGGTGAAGTACTCAAAATGGAAAATAGGAAACAAAGCATTTTTTTGTGCAAATGTTTTAAGCTTCAGTCCGCAATTCAGGCATCTTAGTTTATTTTTTTTATTAGATAAAAAAGTTCAAAAATGCTTGATTAATAATTTCCTCTGCACTCTTGCTCGGACTCGCTGCCACAAGTTCAGGAATTGTAAACGGTAATTTCTTTAAAGGATCAGTTAAACTTCCTCCCATCATATACAGGGTTCCATCCTTGGGATCTAAACATGTTTAAATATTAAAGGGAGTGTTCGCGAAAAATGAAAGGGGGTATTGGCTTACGTCGAAAAATATTGTGATTGCTACTAATCTTCCTTCTATATGTTGCGCCTATAAGGAGAAAATTGTTGAAAACTACTCATACCGGAGAACTAACGTCCATACAATTTCAGAAAGTTGCAATATTCGACACATCTATTTTATATATGATTTTTGTATTGTGTTATATATGATGCAATTTAAACGACGATTAGTTGGCCTTTAGGTGTCTCTGCTCTTGATGTTTCTGCATGGTTCCAAGAGAGAGACACCTAACGGACAAAAAATCGTCGTTTTAAGTGCATTGTTTATAAAACAAATAAAAAATATTAAGAAATTACATTTTCCAAAAACTACTCAAAAATGTTGTTTAAAGCAAACTTTATGACATTTGGGGCATAAATCATAGTAAAAACAATATGTGAAATATGCAAAATCGATTTTTTAATATTCAATTCTTCAAAATAACAATTCTATTCTCAAAAGAGAATGGACAATATTGTAATATTTTGTGTTCCTTTAAAATGTTGCAAAAAATTAAGCAAAAATATTTTTTGCCCTTTTGCAAAATATAATTACATTAAACCTGGTAAAAATGCGGGAAGCACTGGTTTAACCGGATCATACGGAGACTTGACGACTGGCTCGTCGACCAGCTTCCACCGGATAGAACCGGTTTTCTCGTCAACAGCAAACAATCCTCCATCCAAGGTTGAAACAAGGATTGTCAGGCCTTAATCCCAACAATCATTAATTAATAAATTATTATCTTGTAAGTAGAAAAGAGCGGCGAAATTGTATTTATGCCAATAATTGTACGTATGTTACGTATGTTACGTGCCCAGTCAAAGAGAAATAACACAAATGAAAACTTTCAAACTTTGTACTAAAAGATAGATTAAAATCCACCAGATTAAACGTTTCGACGCGAGAGGTCGCTTTTAAGTACTATAATAATAATTATAAGTTGTTTTGGCTACACCAACTACTCTCCAAGTATACAAGTAAAGAAAAGAGCACATTATTAATTGATACTGATTAGGTTAATGCTTACTAATTAGTTAAAATATTCTGTAGGCTAGTTAAAAATCTTGTTGTTAAATTACAAGAGAAACACTCAGACTTTTTACGCTCATGTTTCTTTAAATCTTTATAGTCCATTATTAAAAAATTAAATTAAATTAAAAAAAGATATTCTAACTTCCCAAGGTCATCAAAGGCAAAGTATTAATTTTTATTCCAAAAGGTTGCAAATGAAAAATAAGTTATTTAAATGAATTGGATGATTTTTAAATTTCACGGGCAATGCCAGACACTTCAGTCAGCATAAAATTGACATTTATGAATTGTTTTTCAATTGAAATTTCTACCTTTTACTGTTAGGTTCCATTTTTATAGTTTTTAAATAACATGATTTATGTTTTATTTTTTAACAAACAATAAACATTAGATCATTCTTCAGAACATGGAACAACTATTTTTTTTTTTTTTTATCTAAAACAAGAAATATAATTTTCATTCCATTAAAAAAAAAACTTATAAGAACCGTAGTTTCACAAGTAAATTGTCTTTTGATTATTTTCATTTAAATTAAACTGAATTTTCTCATTTTTTAACTTCAAAGTAAATTATTTAAAATTTTCAGTTTTAAATCATTTTACAATTCATAAAACAATTTCCTTTATCAAGAAAAGTGTCATATATTTTTTTGAGAAAAAAACTTGAAATGCATGTTTTCATAGAAAACAATGATTGTAATATTCCCTTCTGTGTTGGTGACAGCACAATTAACGCCAGGGTTCCCTGGTTCGTCTCTGAAACAAATATTTCAAATTTATTTTGTATATTTTATTATTTATTTTTGACATAACACTAGGCTTCTTGTGCGCTTCTTCCCCTCCCCCCCTTCTATTAATTATTCAATCATTCAATCAATCAATCAATATTCAAGTAAAACTGAAAGAGAACCAAAAAAAGCTGAACAATATTTTACAAGATTTCTGTTATAAATTGATGAATCCCCCCNAAGAGTAAATGTACAAAATTGATAGCAGGGAAGGGGGGGGGGGGTTCAAAAATTCGTTTCTCTATAGGACGGACCCAAAAACGAAATATTTATTGCAAGATAAAGCCGGGAAGCTTCATAAACAAGCATATTTATACTAAATTTTTAAAGATCATTTCTGCATTGAACGAAGAGATTTAACAATTAAATAATGTTTGATAAGATCTTTAATCCATGAATTAACTTTACCCTTGTGTCTGGAAACATTCGGGTGGAACATCTTTATCCTGCCCATTCACGATGCAGCACGCCACTATCAATATGTAGAATGTATGTAAATTAAACATTTTGCTTCACTCATTTCTGAAAGAATAATAAAAGATTAAATTAATGCTTCATAGATTTAAATATGTGAACAATTATCCCGTTAAATTCCACTGTTGAAAATGAAAGTTGACATACACGTCTAGTTTATTATCTTAACCGTGATAATTAAACATTAATAAAAGACAACAAGCAAATAAATCATTTTTGTTTTTATTTCGTCAGAATATTATGATGTTGCACACAGCTGATTAACCTGAAAGCCGGGGACCAATCAGAGCCGAGTAAATAGTAGAATTCAACCAATACGAGCAGACTCTGGAAATGTCAACCAATAAGACTTGTTATTGTGTCAATCACAATGTCGTCTTTGAAAAAGAATTATTCAAACCAACCAATGTCGTCTTTCATATTTTGTTGACATGAAAGGAACATTCAGCGGCATTTCTTTCAATTGCGCAAACAATCTAAATTATTTTAAGGAAACATCTGGCAAGCTTGCCTTTGTTAAAGAGTGAAAAAATAGTGTTTGCAGAGCAACACATCCGGTAATTTCCTAGTATACGATTTTTGGACCCCCCCAGGCCCCCCCCTCCTATCAATTTTGTACATGACCATTTATTTTTCAGCAAATTTAAAATTATTTAATCTTGTACATCGAGATTAAAAATCGACCAAGCCCATCCCCTAGCCGCAGCGCTCCGTCCCCTAGCCTTCTCAATCACCCGGCCCTTGAAAAAAATAAAATTAAACAAATGAAAATAATATTCGTATATTAAAATGGGGTCTGTCCTTTTTTTGGACCCAGCCCCCTTCCTATCAATTTTTTACATGACCAAATTAGTATTTATTTAGCATTATTTAGGGTTAGGTTAGGTTAAGACACCTTCTGGGCCGAGCACTGCGACTAGGATGGACTAGGGGGCCGAGCGCTCTTCTTCAAGTCAATACTGTGATATAAATTAGTTAAAATATTAATTTTACGGAAATTTATTAATTTAGAAAGAATGTATTATTACTTTGATCTTCAGTTAGTTCATGCATTTATATTCATCATTCCTTGTCTTCTTATTTCTCTCTTCAAATTGTGGACTAAACTCGTCGCTAAAAGTCAGGTACAGATAAAAAGATATATTTTCCTATTTATAATCTTCTTCGTATACACATTAAAAATTTCGCTGGATATCACAAATTCATAATTTTAATCTTGCCTTTTCTGAAAATAGCAAGGGTCTGGGATCATGTAAGGTTTTACGGAAAAATATGGAATCGAATTTTCATCCTTTTTATGGTGTTTAATCAGAAGAGACTATGCAAATTTAGAAAGACTAGGCTATTTTTATTAAATATTTTGCTAACCATGACTCTCCAATCTGTTATTTTCTTTGCAAATCGTATATCGCGGATATCTGTTTTTGCGCATTTTCAAAAATGATTAATGCGAACATTTTTTCCCGGGCAAATATGTTATCTTTAGCCATCCTAAAAACCTTTCATGGGTTCACATCAGTTGCAACAAACAATTTGGGCCCAATCGATTTAGCCCTTATGACGTGTCTTGGATACTTGTTAAACAGACAGACAGACAATTATAATTATACATATATAGACTATAGGTATTGTCAATTGTCATTCTTAATAATATACATTAAGAGCATAATATTTCAGGCCGAGATTATTTCGAGAAAATTGAACGAGGAGCTGATTAAACTTGTATAAAATAATCATCTACCTACAATCAGCTGCTTCGGGGGTTTTCAACTGTTAAAAGAAATTAGTAAACAATCATTGATAGAAATCAATCATAAAATGATGCACAACAGAAATCATTCTAAAATTTGTCTTACTTAATGACTAGCTCATGTCCCCAGTTTCAGTTCAAGTCTCGTGGATTTATATCAGTATATCATTGAAAATAGGAAAATCATTAATAAGTTTATGTGTTGAGGGAAAAGTTTACATGAGGGAAATTAATCATGAAATTAAGTACATGAGGGTTTTTTATTAATTAGTCATGAAATTTTGTTCATCAGGGAATGACGTACATTAGAGAGATGAACCATAAAGTTCATGTACATCACAGAAATTATTTTTATATGTACAATGTACATCTAGATGAGTTAAATCAAATTATTTGTAAATGAAAATTTATCTCCTGATTAAAAATATTTTACTGTCTAAAAATTTAGTCTGAACCATTGTGGCAAATTCAAAAACCTTCAATTGTGTAATATAATTTTACAGTTACCTCCAATTACCTTTTAAAATGCTATCATTCCTTATGAGGATACATTTTTTTTTTGGGGGGGGGGTGTTACATTATTGAATTGCTATGATACCTTGTATTCTGTACAAATGTGTTTTCAAAATTATTACAGATGTTTTTTAATAATATAAATTTTAAATACATTTGAGACAATAGGGCACAGAAAAGATGAGATGATTATTGATTATTACCGTTAACTTAAATTTCCGTTTCTTAAATTTTCTTAGAACGTGGTTCATAATATGTTCCATACAGCCGCGTATTCAGGAATTTGTCCAGGGGGGCTTAAATTTTTTTTCCTCCCAGGGGGTGGGGCTCAGCACTTGTTAGGGTCTGAAAACCCCTGGTCCAGGGGGGCTTAGCCCCCATAGCCACCCTCTGAATATGCCTCTTGGTCCAAATCTGTTATAAAAGTACCCCTTCCCCTTCACTCATAACAATTTTTAAATTTAGAGTCAATTCAAAATATTTTTTGTTAGGTCACATATAAACTGTAAATCTCTTGTAATACTTCCGGAGCAATTTTTTTTTCGAGTTAAAAAAATACTGTTCATTTTTTTCTGTTTTACCCTAATGAATTGTGATAAACTAAACTGTGATATTAAAATTGTACAAAGTAGTGCTGTACACTTTTCACTGTACAGTGTACAGCACCTTTCTATATCTTCCTGTGTTTAGTGTGTACTGTGTAATGTACATGTAACAAAACCAAAATATTGGACATTTTCAGAAAATAGGTGTAAGGAGTGTAGTTGAGCAGCAAGGTTGTGATATGCTGAAAGGATGATGACTCCACGAAGTGTAGAAATGGGAAACAAGGTGAAAAATATAATTTGTAAAATATTTTGATTAAAAAATTTGCTAATTTCTCACAACTCTTTGTTTTCTCAAAACCTCGAAATTGAAAGAAATTACTTAATAAGTTGCAGTAGTTAATACAGTCTTTAAGTATACACGCAGCAGGAGTAGATATTACAGTCTTTAAGTGTATATGCAGCACTAATAGATATTACAGTCTTTAAGTATATACGCAGCAGAAGTAGATATTACAGTCTAAGTATATATGCAGCAGTAATAGATATTACAGTCTTTAAGTATACACGCAGCAGTAGTAGATATTACAGTTTTTAAGTATATACGCAGCAGTAATAGATATTACAGTCTTTAAGTATATACACAGCCGTAATAGATATTACAGTCTTTATGTATATACGCAGCAGAAATAGATATTACAGTCTTTAAGTATATACCTAATTTTATGTGACTTTCTTTTAATAGAGTGACACAGTCTTAAAAGCTTTATCTGATTAAGAATGAATAAGCTATGCATTAATTGATTATTTAAAACTGTTTCTAAATAAAATTGACATGCGGAAATTTCTATTAAAAAAGTTTTCTGATTAAGAAAAACGACTATATCTTATAAAGTATTAATTAGATTAGATACAGGGTTAAAGAGTATCGCGGGGAATCGAACACGATTCACTTTGAATGGAGAGTTATTTGAAAATACAACGACAATCCCTTTAATTGGGGTTAACGATTGGTTGATTCGGCATTAAATACTTCTTGATCCAGATTCAGGCTTTGAAAAAAAAATGATAAGAGGTCCCAATAAGAAGCAATTTATGAGAAGCCAAAAATTAAAGGCAATTTAGAAAATTTGCTTTTTTTCTGGGGGAATAAATCTTATATAGTTTTTTGGTGTTCTATCTTGAAATGATGGCAGCAAAATAAAATACGGAGCATCATTAAACCATTAGCGGTGGTCTGGGGAGTCCAGTTTGAATTTGGATTTTAAATGATAATCGCATATCAATTAATTAATCAATATTTACTAGGTGTATAAGCTGCATGTGAAGGTGGGAGCCAGGAAGGAAATTTTGGAGCTTCCTCCCGACTCTTCTCTGGATATTCTACATCAGCATATCTATAGAATATTCCAGGTAGAAAACTAGATATTCTACATCAGCATATCTACAGAATATTCCAGGTAGAAAACTCTAGATATTCTACATCAGCATGTCTACAGAATATTCCAGGTAGAAAACTCAAGATATTCTACATCAGCATATCTACAGAATATTCCAGGTAGAAAACTCAAGATATTCTACATCAGCATATCTACAGAATATTCCAGGTAGTAAACTCTAGATATTCTACATCAGCATATCTACAGAATATTCCAGGTAGAAAACTCAAGATATCCTACATCAGCATATCTACAGAATATTTTAGGTAGTAAACTCTAGATATTCTTTATCAGCATATCTACAGAATATGTTAGGTAGAAAACTCTAGATATTCTACATCAGCATATCTACAGAATATTTTAGGTAGTAAACTCTAGATATTCTTTATCAGCATATCTACAGAATATTCCAGGTAGAAAACTCTAGATATTCTACATCAGCATATCTACAGAATATTCCAGGTAGAAAACTAGATATCAACATCAGCATATCTACAGAATATTTCTGGTAGAAAACTCTAGATATTTTACATCAGCATATCTGCAGAATATTTCAGATAGAAAACTCTAGATATTTTACATCAGTATATCTACAGAATATTCCAGGTGTAAACTAGATATTCTACATCAGCATATCTACAGAATATTCCAGGTGCTTAAAAACAGCTGAACCAAATAGAAATTAAATTCTTGTTGAAAGACTGTTTAAGTCCAAGAGTTTCTGTATCAAAATGAGTTATGAAACAATTCTTGAAAAAGTAGAAAATCTACGAAAATCAATTTTGAATTTAACAATGAAAAATTATAAGAATTGTTGAGAAAAAAATCTTTTAGATGATTATTTTTACTGATTTTTAGGTTTAACCTGGTTCATGTATTTAATGGCAATTTTAAAATTAGATTTTCATGAATAACTATTCATCTTGTAATAATCAGCTCCTTAACACTTTGTAGTTTTTCCATTTTAATTTTTAAATTCTTTGTTTAAGATACCGGAGTCTCAGCAGAGACTGGTGTGTAATGGAAAACCGTTAAATTTTAGTTCAAACCTGACTTTAAAACAGGTTAGTTCAATATAAGATTAGTTTTATAAATATTTAAATAATGTTTGTGTTAACTCACGCCGGAATTTCTTTATTGAGCTGAGTTCACGTGTTAGTGTGGAGCAAGTAATTAAATATCGAGTGCACCACTTATTATTATCATTATTTTGTTATCCAGAAGTATTTAAAAAAATAATTTTACCTGTAAATGTTATTCAAAAAGTATAGCGCATCAGTCAGAGATCAGTCAGAGTTTACCTGACTCTTCTTATTGGTCGTAAACAATGATGAAGCCGCTAATCTCCCCTCCAGAAGAGAATAAGTTTAACTAATTTCATCCAATTAAAAATTCCCGGCGTTGAATATTTTTTTATTATTATTTTATTTGCAACTTTTAATCTAATACCTGGTGTTTTATGGAAAATTCATCTTAACCATTTTTTGGAATTTTTAATTGGTTGATTGATGGATTGATAAAATTAAATATTGCTTCGTTGAATGCATGATTGATCTCGAACAATGACTTGATTTAAAAAGAATAAAATCTCCTCACGGACCCTTTTTAGTAAAATATTTTTATTGAGAAAAAAATTTTGTAGGCTCGAGTCGGAAATGGGAGTAAGATTTTAGTCCAAACCTGTGATATGTATACTTCATCTCAATCAACTCACAACACCACAGATTCAAACCAAAGGTAAATTTTGNGGGGGGGGGGGGGGTATTGGACATTATTGTATTTTTACTTCTTTTAAAACTGTACGTTTTTATTATTTTAACCAAAAAAAAATTGCATATGAAGCTAGCAAACCTAAATTCGAGCTGTATGAATGTGAAATTTTAACCTAAATATCGAAAATGTTCTCAACTTCAAAAATCCGATTTCAAATGAATGTCTGGACCATTTTTCTTCCGTTTGTTTTGGTACAATCTGTATTTAATCATTTTACAATGTTGATCAGAGACAGGAATACTGTACGAAATAACGGGGACTGTCGCAATACCGGAAGTAGTTGCCCGGAAGCTGCAGTTGATGATGCTGCTTCTAAGCTCCGAGATTTAGAGGAAATTGACACCAAAGCTCTGCAACTTGAGCAGACTGTACACAACCTAGGAATAAAAACATTTAAATATTTTATTCTGAACGTTTTTTGAGAGTTTTGGAAAGACTCTGTGTAATTATTTAAATAAGATTGTGTAGATTTCTTTTATATTCTTAACATTCTCCGCAGAAATTTAAAGAAACTTATTTACTATATAAGTCAGCTGCTTTGAGTTCATACTGTACGAAATCGTACAATCCAGGTTTTCGGCAATTTGAACACCATTTTAGAGTTAAACACACGGAACTTCTCTGTGGTTGATGATCAGTCTTAAGATGTTATGACTATATATAACTAAATTTTATGAAACCATAATGGGGTTAAAAATGTTTTCTCTTCAGGTTTAGAATTTAACAAATTAAATGAGCTGCAGAAGAAAGAACAGTAAGTAATTGCAGCTTTTAGATTTCAATTTTTACTGGTGTTTGCTTGATTATAGAGTGGCTCGTTCAATCCAAAACAACGCCATTTTAAACTTGATTAACAGCGAGGAATATTTCGTCGTTTTTCCATCTTTGTTGATTTCCTTAATTTCTTATATGTCTCTTCAGCACAAATGCGCAAATCATATTTAAAGAGAACCCACAACAGAAAATAATTAATTTTTACCATATAAGGATGTATTGTTCATATTTGGAAAGACAAAGGTTTAAAGGATATTATTGTGAATCAGACATCTTACTCTATAAATTGAGGGTATCCTGTAAATACGTCTTCAGGCAGTTGTGTAGGGTCGTTCATATGAAAAATTTATAGCCAAGGCTTCAACTTGAAAGTATTTTCATTTTACGTAAATGTTTTGTTGTTTTTTGCCTTAAAAATATGGCTGCAGGGATCTTTTAACATAAACTTGGCAAAATAATTTTTGTTCGTTAGAATTTTTCTGCACACATTTTTTAGCTTTTTCCAGTAACAAGAAGCTAAATTACTTCGTATTTTAAAACTATTTTGCGGATTTTTTTTTACATTTTCAACCGGCCATAAATATTGGGTCCTTGAGTTACCAAAACAAAATTAGTTCCGATTGGTTCAGCCCCCTTGGCGTTTATTCGATACAAACAAGGAGGGAATCAGTGAGTGCTAGAAAACTATTAATATATTGCCTAGGTCTGAGTTAAGTAGGTTAAAGAAGGAATCTGTCAGTGCTGGAGAACTATCAATATGTTGCCTAGGTGTGAGTTAAGTAGGTTAAAGAAGGAATCAGTGAGTGCTGGAGAACTATTAATATAATGTCTTGGTGTGAGTTAAGTAGGTTAAAGAAGGAATCTGTCAGTGCTGGAGAACTGTTGATATATTGTCTAGGTGTGAGTTAAGTAGGTTAAAGAAGGAATCTGTGAGTGCAGGAGAACTATCAATATATTGCCTAGGTGTGAGTTAAGTAGGTTAAAGAAGGAATCTGTCAGTGCTGGAGAACTATTAATATATTGTCTTGGTGTGAGTTAAGTAGGTTAAAGAAGGAATCTGTCAGTGCTGGAGAACTATCAATATATTGCCTAGGTGTGAGTTAAGTAGGTTAAAGAAGGAATCTGTCAGTGCTGGAGAACTATTGATGAAAAATCTGGAGAAATTAGATCAAATCTCTATACCGCTAAATAGTCAGGTAAACCACAGTTAGGATCCATCCCATTTTTGAAACGAATCCATTTTGATGCGGTTCCGGATCCTGGATCCGTCCTGCAAAATTGGATTCATTTTGATGCTAAACCATATCCTGGATCCGTCTAGCAAAATTGGATTAATTTTGATGCTAAACCGGATCCAGGATCCGTTCTGCAAAATTGGATCCATTTTGATGCGGTTCTGGTGCCTGGATCCGTCCTGCAAAATTGGATCCATTTTGATGTGGTTCCAGTTCCCATATACGTCATGCAAAAATGGATCCATTTTGATCCGGTACCGGATCCTGGATTAGTCCTTCAAAAAAGGATCCTTTTTGATACGGATCCTGGATTTGTCCTGCAAAAATGCATCCCTTTTGAACCGGATCCGGGATCCGTCATGCAAAAAGGGATCCATTTGATGCTAAACCACATCCTGTTTCCGTCCCGCCAAATTGGATCAATTTTGAATACGGTTCCGGGTCCTAGATCACCCATGGGAAACTTTACTCTTGTTGTGCTATTTTCTTGCAGAAACTAAATTGATCGTTGAGAGATTAAAGGTGTTTTTATGGTTTTCATTAGTCGAGACGACCTTGTATATGTATTTTCTTTAAAAATAATTTCTTCCCCGCCCCACACGAGCAATTTTTCCAAGTATAATATTCAACATTTTGAAGTTTTTTTTTCTCACTATGTTAAGGAAAATATTTTTGGGGGGGGGGAGGACATGAATGATATTTTGAGTTATTTAAAGGAGGAAAACTTGCTAGTTGAATGGCCATTTTAAAAATTACATTTTACAAAAATTTGTAGCTCCTTAAGAGGTGACATGATATAAAGTATAGTAACACTGGTAACCAGAAAGTTGTGGAATGGTTGTCGTCTTCGTTCTTTCGTTTAATTAGTAAATCTCTGAAAGTATTTCAGGGAGCATGAGTTCAGAAACCACTCAAGTGTTAAAAATGGGCCAACTCGCCGGTTTTGAACTGATGTTTCCTGGAATTTGGATTGTTAAAATTTAAAATTATATACTGCTGATTGCTGAACATGTTCGGTGTACATTTGTGTACATAAATCAGTCGCAAAGTAAAAAAAGCATTAGCAACATTTTACCATCAAAAGATATTAAGAAGACTGCAACAGTTTTATACATTGTTTAGGACGTTAGAGCTGAAAGAAAGCGGATTGCAACCCTTCTGAACAAGGTTCTAGACATCAACGATACAAATATAAATGATATTTCAACAGCTTTAAAGAATACTCATTGAGTTCTCGCCATTAGGGTTTCCAATATTTTTCCGGATCAATTTGGTTCCGTAAGAATTTCTAAATAAATATACCCCCCTAGATATTCTAGGATAAAATTATCAAGAATAATCGTCCTTCAAGGTGTTTTTATCAAATTTTACCTAGCTCTGCACTGTGCAGCATCTTGGAGATTGATTTATTCTTCATTCGGTCAATCAATGCTCAGCCCGTAATTTCCTAAAGTTATCATTGGTTTATCATTTTTAAAAACTTTGATAGGCCTTAACGGATACAAATAAATTCGGAATAAATTGAAACCCCGACTCCACATTCAACATGTACCATGTATATGTTGTTTCTCTCTTAATTTTGTTAATTATGACAAACTTTTTATTTCATTTAAAATTTGTATGCTAAATTTCCAATGAACTTAATAATAATAGGTTTAGAATTTAAAAAATGGATAATTAATAGTGATAATTAGCAGAAATCTTGTTGAATCTATTAAAGTCCCATGACATAATTGTTAATATATAAACCAAAAATACATATTTAACTAGAGAATTAACCCGTTAGCTTTAGATTAACTAAACATAAACAGCAAACATAATTCACATCAATATGTTATGTAATGACATAATTTATGTATTAAATTAAATTTCCCATTGGATCGTGAATATCAAAATTAAATTTTAAAAATGTACAAGGCTGACTGCATGCAGAACATTTGGGGATCTTTGATTACTCTCAACGTTAAAGCTTGGACATAATTTAATATGAATTTTATTATTTTAATTACATTTTTTATTTTTTAGTCATTTAAAAAATTTAGTCATTAATAATTGTAATGTATTGTATAAAGGCATCTTGTTTATAGATAAAAATTCAATAATGTACAATTTACAAACATAAGCAAATGTAATAGTTTTTTCTAGATTTTAATTTGATTTTTCTCAAGGTGCAGATGAAAGCCTTGCCCACCAAAATATTTGTTATTCTTCGTCGCATTTCTAAAACTTTTGTTTTCACATTGGTAACACTGAAAACATGAAAATTATTTGCAATTATGTAAAGTTTCGTAATCTTTAATATTATAGTAAATTGTTAAATCTTTAAAATACATTCTTTTGGTTATTATTATTGCCTGCTGTAATGTAAAATTTATTAAACAGGAAAATTAAATGTTGCAACTTATTTTTAGATTTATTTTTGGGTATTTGCCACAAACTCAAATTTGTCAATTTTTGCAAACTCATGGTTTAATGTTTTAAACTTATTTGATCCAACAGAATCCGTAGTTTGAAATATCTAACGTCTAAATGAGACAGAATCCGTGTTAATTGAAATGAGACTTCTTAGACTGATTCGTTTGCATGCGTTCGCAGTATTTTTATATATGGCATGAGTTTTCCACAATTTAACAAATTTGTGTACAGAAGTACACTGAACTAATGATGTTGTGTTTGTCCCAAAAGGCTGTGAACTGGGGAATTTCACAAATATTGTCTACCCCTTTTCCTTTTCTACATAATTTGTAGAAATAATTTCTTACCCCAACGATTATTTAACGAGTTTCAAAACCTCAATTAGTAAAAGCAGTCACAAACGCATCTTGTGAAAGTTTCGATATTTTAATCCTACCTATTATTATTATAGAGTTGCTTTGCTTGTCCGTCTGTATCCCAGTGTAGATTTACGAACGGTTAAAATTGTACAACTTTGTGTTTTTTAAATTTTAAAAGTTGATCAATATTTAGTTTTACAATAAATAATAAAAATTGCCGATTTAAAAAAAATGTAAACGGTGTAATTGCTAGATGAGAGGCGCGAAGCGCCCTGAGAACTACATGATATTTTGTATTTAATGAGACATAAATCAAAATTAATATTTATTTTTCTCTTTTGACTATATTATCATTCCGTCTTCTATGACGCATTATATTATAAAAAATATTCATTCTTGGTGCATCTTGACTGATCTGAAAGGGTCCGCTATGCATTTATGTAGCTTGGTCTCCTCGACTGCCTGGATTGCTTCACTGCATGAACTTTATTCTTCTTGACTGCCTTTATTCCTCGGCTTGGCTGCAAAACCCGCATTTTCCCCATTTTTTGCAACTTTTTTGAAACTTTTTTCCCCACGTCCTGATGAGTCGGCATCTTCAGACCTTTCCTAACAGGGGAAACTACCTTGATATCTTTAATTTGATCAGCCCGAAGTTGATGCTGGGACGGGAGTTTAAAACATCCAGAACCTTTCCTCCCGGGGGCTCCTCCTATATATAGATAGCACCATTAGATTCACATTTACCATAGAGACTATGTGGTTTTTTGATATTATTTTAGAATATTACGTAGACCCCCCCCCCCCTTCCTCTGAAAAAGATCAACCCACCGTGACTATTTATATCAAATTGGTCCAAAGGTTGCAAGCTTTCCCGAATAAAATCGGAGAATTTTTTCAAACGTATTTATTAAAAACTAAAGCCAAAAATCAAACTAAAGTGTGCGATTAATTATAATTAAATAAACCATTGGATGGGGGAGGGAGGGAAATATTAACAAACGACGTATCTTTTAATTTCTTTTTTTGTGTAAATTTTGCGGTTTGCAGCTTGTTCTATTTTTTGTGTGGATAAGAACACAGAAAGGGATGGTAGGGGGTTCTGTTACCTGCTATGATTGCTCCAGATTCTGCGAGTTCTCGAAGAGCTTTGTTAATTCTGATGTGCGCCCGCTCATCCGTAATACCGTAGATGCTTTGGATGCGCTTCAGGATCGCGTGACGAGATGATCCATGTCGTTCCTTAGAGAATAAATTATTTAGAGGGACTGTTCGCGAAATTTCAAGTGAACCTCTCATGCAAAGATGTCCGATTTGTAAAGATTCCCTTTAAAACTTTATCTGATTTAGTGTGATTTAGATATCTATGTCCCTAATTTTAAAAACTGCGTGGTTTATGATTGAGGTCTTTTTTTACAAAAGTGCCATAATAGAGAGATTTTCAAACTAAATGTTATAACTATTTGCTCTGTATAGCACATAAGATTAAATGTTCCACGATTTTATAGGTCCCACTGTAGAGTAGTTAAATATACCTTCATTCCATCAATAGCATCTATAACCATGTTGAGGTAGGTTGGATGAACTTGCTTTCCAACATTAGACATACTGATAGATGATGTTTCTTCAGATTCAATCTCCATTCTTGAATTATAATTTGATTATGATTTTCTTATCTTGATACTGATACAACGTCTGAATTATAAATAATTTTGCCTCTTAATTCATAAGTGGGAAGAGAACCGATTAGAAACCAACGAATTTTGCGCATTTTGTGTTGACCGCTCATCGAAGTATAGCACGTTTCCCAGAATTGGTGAATTTTTAAGATACAACGCAGTTTGGAGTGGGCCCCAATTAATCAAATTGCGTAGTTTAATTAGTTTAAGATGGGGATTTGTAATAAATTTATATACTAACAAGAATGTTCTGAAAAATTTTACATTATGAAAATATTAAATATATTTAATGCAAAAAAATAATAAACATTTAAGTTGTTGGATATCTATACTTTTTATTTAAAAATTAATATTTATGATGCTTCATAACAACATATAGTTTGGAATTGTTATTATTTTAAAAGTATCTTCTAATTTTTTTTTGATCCTGTAATAATTGTGTTTACATCTGATTATCGACAATTATTATTGCTCCATGGAATTAATAATTTGATTTTTCCTATTATTTCTGCCTTTTTTGAATCTAAAGAGAATAATGTCATTTAGGTAAAGTGGCGTATAAAGGGGGGGGGGGGTTATTTGGGTTAAGTACACCCCCCTTAGAATTGGGGGTAATACCCCTCTCTCCGATAGAATCTTGGGGACATAAATATCCCCGTAAAGAAACCCATGGATTACCATTAAGAGGAACAATATAAATAAATTTTACCGAAAGATAGGATTTTTAATGCATATAGCGTACTATATGTCAAATTATAGGAATAAAGCTCTTCCGGGGGGGGGGGAGGGGAAAAAAAAAGTTTAAAGATCAAGATTATTAAAAATTAAACTTTAAAAAGCAAGAATTTTTTTCTCTTTTAATAGTAAAATTAACATATATTACTTTTATATACAGGGTGTCCCACGAAACATGACAGTATGCAGGACGACTTGAATGTCGTCTTGATTTTTGATATAATTTGCTGCGTTTATTTGTCAACCTAATTTTAGAAGTGAATTTCTAGAGATAATAATCACAAAATTTCCCTTGTCCTGCCATTTCCAAAATGTGGTCTGCCTTTTTTGTGCTTTCAATATTGCCCGAGATATGAAGAATTTCGTTCAGATTTCGACAATTTTGCTTTTATTTAACAAAATTGAAATCTGAACCAAACTCTTTATATCTCTAGTAATATTGAAAGCACAAAAAACGCAGACCACTTTTTGGAAATGCCAGGGCTAGGAGAATTATGTGATAATTGTTTAAAGAACCATACATGTTAAAGTAGATAGAAGACTAAATGTCACAAATAAATTCAAATACCAAAGACGACTTTCAAGTCGTCTTGCTATTGTCATGTTTCGTGGGACACCCTGTATAATATATACACAATGACTGAAATAAATCCAGTTTTTTTACAGTCAGTTTTTGTAGTCAATATTATTAGTGTATATATCATAAAGGTGTCCACAATATATAGAAACTTTAGCAGAATTTCCCCCGCCCCCCCCTAGAAAATCCTTATATTCGCCCATGTTCACGTAAACCACTCCATGGAACATATTTTTTTTATATGCAGAAATTTATTATCTCTGAGACAACCGTCATAAAATTCATTGATCTCAAGTTTTTCGAGCGTTCATATCTTTCCAGAGTTTAGTATTTCTCCTTCCAAAGATATGGCCGGAAAGATAAAAAATTAAAGCGGATTTCTATTAAAAAAAAGTGTCATTTTATCCTGCTTTTTTATTAACTTTTTTCGTTGGAGAAGTTAAATTCATTACAGTAATGTACGAAACGTCCGTTGCAAATATTAAAAATCTATTGCCAAAGATTATTGCCAAATTTTTATGTCTCCAAAGAATGAGTGCTTTTTTCTTGTTTTAATGCAGAAAATTATTATGTTTGAGATAGACTTCATTGATTTTATTTCCAGTATTTATAGCTTTTCCGAGTTTGTTATGTATGGCCTTGAAATGACATGGCTAAAGTTGAAAGATAAAATTTGATTTATAAAATATGTGTTCTTTTGTCCTTAAGATATTCTATTTTACAATTAGAAAATTATATCTTATTATTCTAGTATTCCCAATCAAGTAGAGAGTATCTCGAATCGCGATACGCTATTCATACCTTAATGTCATTTTTGATTTAATTATTTCCATCTTGTAAAAGTTTGAAGAAGAAGATTATTGGTAAACCGCAACATATTTATGTGGTAAACCACAACATATTTATGTGGTAAACCACAACATATTTATGTGATAAACCACAACATATTTATGCGGTAAACCACAACATATTTATGTGATAAACCACAACATATTTATGTGGTAAACCACAACATATTTATGTGGTAAACCACAACATATTTATGTGGTTAGCCACAAAGGATAAGACGACTGTACAGAATGTATTCATGGTACCCTGCAGATGCACAATTGTTTCTATATTTTTCAGATCAATTAATTTATGCTTTAACACTTATAATTATGTATAATAATCGAGATCAATCCTCCATAACCATTAATTTTTCATCTTTTGTGGGTCTGATTGTTAATCGATTTTCAAAACGAACGAAAAAAACTATAGTTTTTCGGTTTATTTTATATTTTTCAAACCTAACGTAACTTCGTTTAGATCTTTTAAAAACCGAAACTACGATATTGAAAAAACAATAGTTTTTGAAAACGTTTCTTTAAATTTATTTAAATAAAAGATACTGCAGTCTTCTTTAACATATGTTTTTAACGTTTGTGAACTCTCGTATTTAGGAAAATAAAAAAAAAATCGTTAACAAAACTTTGTTTTTTGATTAAAAACGATCGGGATCGTTTCTTTTTTTGTTTTGTTATTTTTCTATGTTGTTAACGAAAAATCAGTTGTTCAGAATAGTGAAAACGACCCCTCCCTAATTGTGAATAACCCTGTGGGTTCAAGAATATTGCAGATTAGACGTTAGCTGCGTTGGCGTGAACAGCTAAAAAATCAACTAAGATTGTTTGGCAAAGAGTTTAAATGTCGTCGTAGCCGTAATCAATTCCAGTATTTAATAATTAAAATAAAGTTTCAGTTTAATTTATCACCAATTCTTTTTATCTGTATTTTTTTTTGAGGGGGGGTTCCTTTTTTCCAACACTAAGTGTATATTAATTATGTCACAAAGCGAATAGACACTTTCACCACCACAATTGCCTTGTCTTATGCTTTTCAAAGTTATAACTTGCTTCTAAAAGTCGTCTTCCTATTTAAGAGTTTTCTGGTTATCACTGCAGTTCTTATGTTTCATTACAGGCGCGTACTCAGGGTGGGGGCAATTGTCCTCTTGCCTCCCCCATGGGCATCCCAGGGGGGGGGGGACAGGGCAAAGGTTAAACTCAGGGGTGTTGGGTATAAAATGAGCTTGCCCTCATCTTGAAAGGGGTGTTTTCCCCCTTAAAAAGTAGTTGAAAATTTTCTTGGCACTGCGCCATTTATTTTCAAATTTTACCTTAATCTATACCTTAATCTTTTATCTAAAATCTATACAGACTACAGAGGGATACATTATGATGTAAAGTCCTTGAATCGGACTACAGTGGACTTTAAAGGGGAGTAGTCTCAGGACTTCGGAGAGTAATACAAAGGGATATATTATAATATATAGTCCTTGAATTGGGACTACAATGGACTACATTGGGGACATGTTTAGTAGACTTAATATAGAATACCAGCGTTTTTAAGACCATGGGGGGGAAACACATTTTTTTATAGTTTTATAGTTTTATAGTTTTATAGTTTTATAGTTTTATAGTTTTATAGTTTTATAGTTTTATAGTTTTATAGTTTTATAGTTTTATAGATTTATAGTTTTATAGTTTTATAGTTTTATAGTTTTATAGATTTATAGTTTTATAGTTTTATAGTTTTATAGTTTTATAGCTTTATAGCTTTATAGCTTTATAGCTTTATAGCTTTATAGCTTTATAGCTTTATAGCTTTATAGCTTTATAGCTTTATAGCTTTACAGCTTTATAGCTTTATAGCTTTATAGTTTTAAAGTTTTAAAGTTTTTTAGTTTTTTAGTTTTTTAGTTTTTTAGTTTTTTAGTTTTTTAGTTTTTTAGATTTATAGTTTTATAGTTTTATAGTTTTATAGTTTTCTAAGCATACATTCAACGAACGACGTGAGTCAATTCGACTTACGTCGTACATTTAACAGCTGTTAGAAGTAAAACTTTTTAAAAATAAAAGAACAAGGAGATTAAAAGAAATCAGCATACATTTAAAACAGAGCCGAACCTGCAACAATTTCAAAAATAAATGTTTTCGACTTTTAAAAAAACTTGTAAAAATAAAATTTCGCGATTCCCCCCTCACAAAAGTGGTAGTTGCGCCCCTGGTTGCCGAGGGTGTAGAGGATTTATATATTTATGAGGATTGAAGAAATTGATTCTAATTCTAGAAGTGTTCTCTACACTATCAATAGTTTCCCGATATTTCTATACAGATATAAATATATCTATCTATATATTTACACAGTGTTTCATATTTCTCCTTTATTGCTGTATTTTATTGTATTGGATTCTAATATCACTATTCTCTTGTCTATACCCCCTCCCTGGAACTAAGAAAACAGAATAAAGAATAGAACAGACATATACCACTTTTCCCTTGTCCATCCTCTCCCGCCCCCCCTTCCTGGCACTAATAAAATGGAATTGAAAATAGAATAGACAACAAATTTATTTATATACATTATTTTGATTTCTTTCAATATCTCGTGGTGCTCATATATCTCTGCAATGTTAAATTTAATTGTAAGCTAGCATTTATTCTTCAATTTAACAGTGCCCGTATTGGAAATCGAGGACAAGCGTTTAAACCGAAAATTTCCGACCTCTGATCAAAATTGATGAATACATCCTTGTTTTTCTATAAAATAAAATGATAATTTTCAATAAAGGTTTCTTTATAATTGGGATATGTTGATTCAAGCAGCAGAAACAATTAAGGAAATTTCCAAAATTTTTATGTTTTCTTGAAAGAACATCTTGAAAGAGGTTGAAAGGATACCGTTGAAAACCTGGCCTGTAACTGTTAAAATAATTGATCACTTGAGATTAAGTCAACAGTCCCTTTAATCAAAAAAATGTTTTTGTTTAGTAAAGGGATAGTTTTTTTTATAAACAATGTTAAAAAAGTGGTCAGTAAATTTTGC